TATTTTAATTTTTATAAAGACATAATATCTCCCAGGCTCTCACTGCAGCATCCTGTGTGCTGCAGTAAGTGCAATGCAAAGGTTGCTGAGTTTCTCCAGTCTTTAACAATTGTGCAGGGTTTAAACTCATTCCCAGTTTGTAATGGGGCTAAGCCCAATGTCCAGAGTTTTGGGTTAAAACTCAAGTGTGCTCATGTGTCCTAAGGCACAGTGTGCTTTCCAGAGGCAGAGTTCAACACTGATACTACAACATTACTGATTTATTTTGTTGTTATTCCAAGCCAAACACAGCCTGGAACCCATTTTCTTATGGCCTTCAGAAAATTTCTGAACTTTTTGAAAGATTTTACCCTTCTTGGCCTATCACTATTATTTTTCTGTGGCTCAGACACGGCTGTTTCTCTTTCTGGTAAAAACACAGTAAGGATGTATTTTTGAGGGCCAAAAAATGCCTTTAAATTTCTCTATTACTGAGGACAACCTTAAGTCTCTTACTGAAGTTGCAGGAGGACCCAGATGTTTAAGTAGTGCTGTAAAGAAGAGCAGGGTGGGAATTTTGGGGACCCAGTTCCTTTTAGGGTGTGAGTGGTGATAGTTTGACTCATGGTCCTATAGCTGATTACAAATTAGAGCATGCAAAACACTGTTACCATGGGGTATTTGTAGTATTTGCAAATTTGGGGTATTTGCTCTAAATTGTGGCTGCTAAGAACATGCCTGCTTCCTCTTTTCTGTACCTGTGCTTGTTTAGGCTGGTTTGAGAGAGGACTAAGAATAACAAGATACTAATAAGAGGATGGGAGCTTAATAATTGGAAAATTGTTAAAGAAATGTTAAGTTCCTAAAGTTGAATTATTTGCAGTCACATTGGGACTGGAAGATACAGCTGAAGGAAGGATGCAGGCAAATTCTAATTTCTGATAAGCCTAGAATGCCTCTAATGTGTATATTAGGATTTTAGCTCTGAACACGTGAAATAAGACAAAATTAGTTTATTTTCCCTTCATATGCCAACCTATAAATATATCCAGAGTAAGCCTGCAGAGAAAGGCAACCCCTGATCTGTGTACAGTGTCTGCACTGAAGCCCTTTTTGTTGTGTATTTGAGCAAATCTCTCTGCTGGGATTCCAGTGTGCAACATCTACACCAATATTCCAGGCATAGCTCTCATGGTTGAACCAATATTTGATGTTTCAGGGCTTGTCCTTGGTGTGCTGTGATGGAAATATGCATTTCCTCCGGTCTGACTGCTGTTTGCAGATCTCTGTCTCCTATCAGATGATGCCTTGAGGTGATGTTATCTTGCCCATGGGATGGGTCAGGAGCATGAGTCAGGAATGTAAACTGAGGTTTTAATCAGCAACACTTTGAGTAAAGGAGTGGAGGAGCAGCTGCAGGAGTTGGAATAGCTTGGGAAGCAGCAGTTCCCAACACTTTGCATGGCTTGTGCATGATTCAGTGTGTGACTGCTCATCAGGGCAGCTCCTGAAGCACCCCAAGGAGGGCTGTGAGAGAGGGCTGGGGTTCTGTGGGTGGCTTTTGATGGTGCCAGCTCATTCCAGTTCTTTTATGGGCCCAGAAGGGGAGGTTGAACCTCTCTCAATAGATAGCATGTACTTTCTCTAAAGAAAAGCCCCACAAAAAAGACAAGTAACCCAAACCCTGTGCCCATGCACCATATAATGCAAATATTTTACATAATTCTAGAATTATTCACGTAATTCTAGAATTAATCACATAATTCTAGAATTATGGAAATAATTCTAGAATTATGTAAAATAATTCTAGAATTATTTTACATAAATTCTCTTTAGGAAAGGAGGGAGAAGAAAAAGTACTTATGTTTAGGAGCAGTGACAGTAGAAAACAAGGTAGGAGGATGAAATGAGGAAATGAATTATTAATTCTCTGGTAATGTCTATAATCTACTACAAAAATATCTGTACTATTTAAGAGTTTCTACTAAAACAATTCTGTGAAAGGTGGTTACCCTAGGTTGTGGTTAGGACACAAGACAAGAGGACCTGTGTAAGTTCCTTGTTCAGCCAAAAACTCCTTGGGCACTGCTCAGCATGTTTAAATGCCAGGTTTCCAATCTCCTCTCAGGAACAGAGCAAGTGGGAATGTTCTATTTCTCAGGTCCAAGACTATGGTGAGGCTGATTTAATTATTTTTGAGATCTCCAGTGGCTCATGGTGAAGTTTACTGGAAAATACCAATTAAAGAGAGGTGAAAACAGCAGATTGTGGGTGGTTTGACAGGTCAGCAAAACTGGGCAAAGAAATTATTTTCAGGAGGCCTCTGATGCCAACAGGAGCATTACACAGCTTGCCTTCAGTAACACTGTGCTGTTGCAGGAAAGTCTAAGTCTCCATACCCAGATTTTATTGAAAAATGGGTTTGCCCTTTTGAAGGAAGGGCTAAGGCTTAAAAATACATTTGCTGCATCCCAGCCAAGTAGGTTCACTAATAACAAAAAGACCAAAGACAGCTTTTTTGCATTAGAGAGAGCATTTATTATTTCTCTGCTTTGTTTTCTTTGGAGCCCTGCTGAAATGTTTTTGATTGCATCCAAGTGGGAGATCAGTTGTAATAAGGCGTGTCTCATGTTTCTCCTGTTGCTGCCAGGACTGAGATAATTCCTTGTGACTTTTGAACACTGCTTTGATTTTAAAGGGGCACTATCATAAATTCATTTTGGTTGAAAAAGACCTTTAAAATCACTGCATCAATGGAAACAACCCAAAAACTCTGCATTTCCTTTTTAAGGACAACTTATTGAGAGGTACACATATATTTAAAAGTAACCAACACCATTGCTTGTTTTGTTTCTTAAATACCATGTGAGTTTAATGAGCCTTTCTAAAATGCATGAGCATTTCTAAAAGCTCCCTTCTTCATCTTTTAGACTGCAATTCTTCATTCAGGTTTACTCTTTTTGTATTAATTTTGCCTACCACTTCTTTTGGGCAACAAAAGGAGACTTGTCCAGGTTTGCTGGTGTTCATTCTCTCATGACACAAGCAGAGTTACTTGGGTTAACAAGTTAGAAGAGAAAGTTGGATTTTTATTGTCTGTTTTCTATCATATTTGAAAAAGTTATAAAAACAATTCCCTCAATGTGCGGTGCTGTAAATTCCTTTTTCCCCATGTTGTTTTTGGATCTGCAGTATTTTGAATATGACATCCTGCAAAAAAATAACAGTATTTTTAAAACCTCCTACTGGAGTGCATTTGATTTGGGTTACTCAGAGCAAACGTGGAGGAGTAAGAGCCCTCTGAAAATGATCGGTGGCAGGAAAGCAGCGTTGTTTGCTTCCCTGCCCGGGGCACATTCTGTCTGTCCTGTGTGCACGTGTGGGATTTCTGGGACTCCTTGGAGAGCTGTGGGATCTGCCAGCAGAACTGAGCTCCCAGATATCCAGAAATATGTTTGGGCACGGTGCAGTGGTACAACCCACTGGTTCTAAATGTCTGGTAGGAGCCAGACCTTCAGCCAGGAGTGTTGGAATGAGGAGGGCTGGTGACCTCCCTCCCCTGTGAGGTCCCTACTCCCAGGACTTTGCTGCATCTCCTTCTGGACAAGTTCAGCAGTGAGGGCACAGGCTGGGCTCTGCTGAAGCAGCAGGGCTTGAAAATGCACATGACAAAATACCCATTGCCATGAAGGTAGCTCACCTATCCTGATTTCAGAAGAGTAATGCCAGATCGCACCTGCTGATAACCCAGCAGAAATAAATTCTTATTTAGATAATAATTTCCTGCTGGTTTAATGGACAGTCCAACCCCTGGGTTGGTGGGGGTTTTTTTGAGAAAAATCTGACTTACTAAATGCAGCAACTAGTTTTTGGTTTTTTTTTTAAAGTGCTTCTTTACCATCTTGAGCATCATATATGAAAACCTGAGCCTTCAGGTCCTCAGGAATTTTTTTCCCCTCCTATTACCTATTCCCACTTGTGCAGGCATAGTCCCAAAGTTATTACATTGCATGTAATTGCTGTAGGGAGGATGATCATTTCAAATAAGAGAATATGAAGCAGGATCAGATGAATTCCTTAATCAGCACAGAACCCAGCCCCTTGTGTGTGTCTGTTACTTCAAAAATAAAGGCAAGACTCCACTCCCTTTATTATATATAGATCATCAACAGAATTGTTTGAAATTGCAATTTTCTTAAAATAATCATTGAAACACCCACAAATAATTTCTCCACCAACTAGCAAAGAATGATAAGCTTGAGTTCAGCCCAAAGTGTCTGAAACACAGTGCCTTAAACCTAGTGGTTCTAGTTAAAATCCTTTGTGGACACAGTTGTAAAATGCAACAGCCATGTGAGGGAGGATGAGAGGAGCAGGGGATGGTAAGATCTATGTAAAATCAGTTTTGCTGCTGTTGCTGATGAAATCTCAAAGGAAAGAAGCTTAAGAACCAGTGAGCCCATGAAAACAAGCAATACAAAAATAATAATTTTAACTTCATTGGTGCTTTTATAATTCATGTAGTGAAACAGCTTCTTGTGCATACTCATAGAGTCTGGAGATTCTTACTCAGCTGTGTGAAGAAACAAAAGAGTGAAAAGTGACTAAATTCTGAGCAGTGCACTTGATGCTTACCCACTGTAGAAAACTTTTGGTATAAAACAGTCTGAAAAGAATTTGCTGCCCACCAGCATTTCAAACTCCTCTGTATGGAACAAAGGCAGTCACCTGGAGCTCTGACTCGTGCTAAACCTGGATGAAACTTCACCTCAGCCATCCTGGAGAATCCATCTTTGGTTATTCTCGTATGACATTTGTATTGATGTTGATACACTTGTACTGATGTTGTCAGTGACAACGAGGTGATGAGGATTAAAAACTCAAAAAAGCCACTCAAGTCTTTATAGCAAATCAGCTCCTTTTTTTTCTGAGATACTTTGTGGATCATGCTGGTGACACCAGCCCTGTGAAGATGGTTATATTGGCTGCTGTAGGATCTCTGTTCTCCTGGTGCTGTGCTCTGTAAATTCAATCTTTCAGTGAGTTGTAGGCTTTTGTGGTCCTGCTGTTGACGAAATCTGCCTTCTTGAAGTCAGCCTTTGGAAGGGAAGAAACACAACAGTTCATTATCTTCAGTGCTGATTCTGCAAGGGTTCAGCTGCCTAAAAGCTGGATAAGGAGCCATGGCAGGGGTCTAGCAGGGTCCTGAGCAGTCACAGAGACAGAACAGGCTCATTTAGCCCAGGATAGATGAGAGGATAATTGGAATTGTTGAACTCCACTGAATGTACCAGGAGCTTGTTCTTCTACCCCAGCTCTACAGACTCCTAACTTTCAGGTGACTAATAGCTGAAATCAACCTAACTGAGATTAGCCCTGTCAGAACAAAGAACACAGGGCAATGCCAAAATGACTCAGGATTTTATCAATTTCATTTGATAAGTGATTTCTGCGGCTTATCAGACTAAAGTTTCAAAACTGTCCAGACATTAGGTGGTTCTGGAGTTTTCAGCGCCATACCTGGTGTCTCTAGGGGACATGGTTTGCATAGGAAGAGCAAATAATCAGCACTTTGGAAAATCAGGTTTGACAAATGTGTCCTATAGACTTTCCTAAACTACCAGTAAATTCATAAAATTCATGCCATCAGGGATATTGCTGATGGTATGATAAATTTATTGTATGGTAAATTCAAGAATGCAGTTGTAAAAAAAACAGAGACAACTAGTTAGGAATTTATATGGCCCAACAGCCTTATTCTGGAACAGAGATTTCTGGTTTGTGGGGCCATACCTGCTAAGTGTGATGCAACACTGTTTAAGTTTATGCTAAGAAAGTTTTTTGGAGCAAATGTAAACAAACAAAAAAAAAATCTACCAATAGAAACAGCTAATAACAAATGCTATGGGAAACTATGGCAAATGGGACAGTTTTAGATAATAGGGAATTTGAAGTGACAAATTCTGAACAGCAAACACACAAAGATTGGAATCAGTTTGAGATGCAGGGTGAAGGTAGGTAGGTGGAAGTTAACTCAGCTGAGGGTTGGAAAAGCAGACACAGAGCTTTAAAAAAACCAAACTGGTTTGTGGCAGACTCACGCTGGCCATTTTCTGTTTGATCTGGCTATGGCAGTAAATGTTTGCCACCAGCTTTCCCAGGCCCTGGGTTTTGTGTGACTATAACCTGGGCTGGGCAAACAGCAAGGAGAACAGAGCTGCTCTGCTTTTAGAGCAGGGAGCTGCCTGCCCTGCCCTTGGCTTTGCTGCCACTTCTGTGGTTCCTCTGTGCCAGGCTGGCTCAGCCACTGTGGATGGGCATCACCTCCACTCTGCATCCCCTCCCACCCCCTGATACTGCTGGCAGGCAGCAGAAAAGCTTTTCATAAGCTCTGTCAGTGGGTATAAAACCACAGAGGGAGAGAACATGAACACACAGGAGCAAAAATGAAGGCCATGCATTACTTATGTACAAGTAAATAAGAAAACCAAATTCAGGCACCACTTGATTCCTATCACAGGTTGATTCTTAAATGAGCAGGAGTGCTAAGGGCCCCAGAAGAGAAATGAAAGGGTTCTAGGTCTGAAGCAACAGATTATTTTTCTTTGTGCTTACCTTTTTGTAGGCACTGTGGAGATCGGTGTGCAACCACAGGGAGTAGAGGAGCACTGAAGCAGCCCTGCTGGCTTTGCTGAACATATTGCTGCCATTTTGCAAAAAAGAATGATAAAACATATTTAAATTTCCACATCATAATCATGGTGCATGTACAGACCTCAGCAAGCATCACCTCACAGCATTTTTTTTTAATCTCTCTTTACTCCCTAAGTGCTGGTTTGCCACCCTTTAGGAATTGTAGCATCTTTCAGGCTGTCCTCATTACTGAAACAAATGAAACATGCTCCCTGCTCCACTCATTCTTCAAATTTAGGGAGAAATCAAGTGCTCTGTAGCCTACATCTTACAGCAGCTATCACACTGTGCAATTTCAGCTGAGGAAAATAACCTCAGCACAACAGCCATTTGAAAGAATCTTTCCAGTAGGTAAAATCTCTTGTTAGTTAAACAGGATTTAAACTATTCAGGTCCTCGTGAAGCCTCCTTTACTGAGATTGATTTCCTCTTTCATTTTGCAAAGAGAGAGCAAGGCAAATGGAATAGTTACTCATATTTTTAAAACATTAATTATCTTTGGAGAAAATATTGATTGCATTTGTTTACTATTAAAGAACAATTAAATTTTGAATCTGTTCTCTAAAATGCCAATATGTTATTTTTAAGTACAGATCTATATGTTCTATAAAATGTACCCCTGCACTTTATTGCTAAAGTTTATCAGGGCTTACAATGTTATCAGGTGTTACAAAGTTTATCAGGTGTTACAATGAACAGGAAAGACATTTTGGGTACAGATGAGATCTGCTGATCAGTCACTACATATATATCAGAATACAGATAATGTGGTGCAGTTATCTTCTGAGGAGTTATTTAAAATGCTTTAATATTATTAGTAATTTTATATGCCTAAATTATATAAATTAAATTATATAAATTTATATAATATTAAATGCTTTAATATTATATAGTTATTTCAATGCTTTAAATAAGGACCATTTAAAATGCCAGAACCTGGTGAGTTTAGCTATGGATGGGAGAGTTGTCCTAAGAGATCTTTCTGTATTTCCCTATCAGTGCAATTCTATTCACATCCCTTGTTTAGGCTGCCCTGCACCTTGAGATGAAGCTTTTTTTCCCTAGAGTGGCAGAGGTTGCAGTTTCTTTTTTGCCTGGGGACAGAGTGAGACTTGTGGAGCACTTACCTGTCATTGGTGCTGATGGCACTGACCTTGTGGAGCCCTTACCTGTCATTGATGCTGGTGACAATGACCTTGTGGGGCCATCAGGTCACTGATGGTGATGGCAATGACCTTGAGGAGCCCTTACCTGTCACTGATGCTGATGGCAATGACCTTGTGGCTTGTGGAGCCCTCACCTGTCACTGTGATGTGACAAGGCAATGACCTTGGGGCTTGTGGAGCCCTTACCTGTCATTGATGCTGATGAAAATGACCTTGAAGAGCTCTTACCTGTCACTGATGCTGATGGCAATGACCTTGAGGAGCCATCAGGTCACTGATGGTGATGGCAATGACCCTGAGGAGCCCTCACCTGTCGTTGATGCTGATGGCAATGACCTTGGGCAGACCGTGGGCGCTGAGCAGCAGCCGCGCGTTGTGCGAGCTGCCCTGGGTCAGGTTGAACAGGGTGTAGCAGATGGATGCTGTGGTTTCACAGGCCACCTCACAGCCTGGCACACCCTCGGGCAGGATTGACACCAGGTCAGGCAGGACTTCTCTGGCTGCAAGGTGGGAGAGAGACAAGCAATTCTATCACTACAGGAGGAGATTTAGATTATTCCTCCCATTCTCCCTCAGCAGGGAGCTCTGTGCTCCCACCACACACACACTTCCTACCTGCATTACAGCCCCAAAATTCAGCTGAATCTGCAACCCCACAATGGACAGCCTGTATCTTGCCTCATGCACAGTCCATTAATAGCTCATGTGCTGGACTGAACTCACCAAATGTCACTGTCACATTTTCTGGAAAAATCCCTTCACCAGGATTTCTTCTCCTGGGAAGCTGACAAGGCTCAGAGAAAAATGAAAACAATAATTGTCTGATTGCTTCTCCTGTGTTTTGCTGCTTTGGAATGTGGCTGGAGATTGTTTATCCAACATGTGAATTGTTTTAACTTAATGACCAATCACGGTCCAGCTGTGTCGGGACTCTGGACGCAGTCATGAGTTTTTCATTATTATCTTGTTAAGCCTTCTGTAAATATCCTTTCTCTATCCTTTAGTGCAGTTTTAGTATAGCATTCTTTAATATGATATAAGTACATAAAATAATAAATTAGCCTTCCAAGAACATGGAGTCAGATTTATTCCTTTCTGCCATGGTAGGACCCCAGAAAATACCACAACCAGGCATGGGCCAGCTGCAGGCTGCCACTTCCCTGCTAGAGATGTTATATGTTAAATTTATCTCCATTTGATATGGAGGTTCATTTTGCTTGATAAATTTGGATAAATGTAGGATCGTTTTGTTTGATAAATTTAGACCCTTATAATCTAGAAAACAGTGTGCCCTCTCAAATGTTTTCCTTTGGCCAAAGTTTTTCTTTTTGAAATTTGACCTGGATTCACACATGCATTCAGTCAATCAAAAAGAACATCTTTTGATAGAGAAAAGGTTCACCTGAAATTTCCCCAGTTCTCTCTATTATGGATAAAACAACTGTGAATGTGCAAGATGAAGCACCTGCCCCCAAAGCTTTGTGCTATTCTGTCTTTCCCTCACTCTCATAAATGATTTTTTCCTGATGACATCCCAACTTTTTATCAGTTTAATTTCTTCTCTTTCAGGGGGATTCACCACCTGTAATTGCTAACACCATATGGATTATCCCTCTGAAATCAGCCCAACAATATGTTATAAGATTTTCATTAATAGGGAATGTTCTCTAAGGCTCCAAGAAGACCCAGGAGGCTGTTCTGCAGAATTCTGGAGGGTAATCTGTCCCATGAGATATCTTTATACCTGGAATTTCCCCTTTCCCCCTTAGTGGCAACACAAAAAAGGACAACAAATTATATGAACACATTTTATCCTTTCAGTAGGAAAAAGTCTTAAATACACAATAATTTGAAATGAGAATACTCAGAATAGAAATGGCTTTATTTAGAAATGAGATCATTTAAAAGAATTAACTATTTTTCTATAGCATCTTATAGCTTCCATTATTAAAAAAAAAATTGCAGGAAAACTGTGGGCTGCAAACTTCTAAAGTTTGTGTCGAATAAGAGAGAGTCTGGTTTTTTGCTAGAAGAATTAGAGATGTTCTGTGATTTCTTGCAAAGCATTATGCAGCTGTGGCAGCACAGAACTCAGCAATCACCTTCCTTTACCCTATTTTGAGCAGAAGAAAAACTCCCTCTCCAAATCTGTGTAGAATTTACTTCAATTATGTATTTTTGAAAGTAACACCAATGGAAGTATCTGAAGAGGAATACCCAATAAAGTGAAAAGCTTGTTTAGGCAAAAATCTTAATTTTAAGCTCTGTGACCGCAAGTATCTGGTGAAAAATCTACTAACCTCACAGATCAGGGTTTTTTCGAGCATTTCTTTCTTTCAAAGCAGGAAGTTTTGATGTGAAGAGAGCAGAGCAAGCTCTGAGTTTTTGCTCACCTATGTCATTTTGCAGGGAGGGGTTTCGGGACAGGTTCCTGAGCAGGGAGACTGCTGTTTTCTTCACGGCGGGGTGGCTGACGTGCAGCATGGCGCGGATGCTCGGGAGCCCGTTGGCCTTTTGCACAACAGTGCGGGCCACTGCCAACGGCATCTGTGGAGAGGCAATTTGTGTGTCACTGCCAGCAGTGCAGAGCCTCAGGAAAAGTCAGATCTATGCACCACTTTAAGCATATTTCAAATAGTTTTAAGCCAGCTACATGTGAGTTGCAGGGTGGCTGACGTGCAGCATGGTGTGGATGCTCAGGAGCCCATTGGCCCTTTGCAGTCTGGGCCACTGCCAATGGCATCTGTGGAAAGGCACTTTGTGTCACTGCCACCAGTGCAGAGCCTCAGAAAAAGCCAGCTCTCTGCACCAGTTTAAGCATATTTCAAATAGTTTTAAGCCAGCTACATGTGAGTTGCAGGGGGGCTGACGTGCAGCATGGCGCGGACGCCTGTGAGCCTATTTGCCTTTTGAATAGTCTGGGTCACTGCCAATGGCATCTGTGGAGACGCACTTCTGTGTCACTGCTACCAGTGCAGAGCCTCAAAAAAGCCACACACAACCAGCTCTCTGCACCAGTTTAAGCATATTCAAATAGTTTTAGACCAGAGTTACATATGAGTTGCAGGGTGGCTGATGTGCAGCATGGCGCAGATGCTTGGGAGCCCATTGGCCTTTTGCACAACAGTCCTGGCCACTGTCAATGGCATCTGTGGAAAGGCACTTCTGTGTCACTACTACTAGTGCAGAGCCTCAAAAAAAATCACACACATTGCCAGGTCTCTGCACAGTTTAAGCATATTTCAGATAGTTTTTAGCCAGTTACAAATGAGTTGCAGGGTGGCTGACATGCAGCATAGTGTGGATGCTTGGGAGCCTGTTGGCCTTTTGGACAACAGTCTGGGCCACTGCCAATGGCATCTGTGGAGAGGCACTTCTGTGTCACTGCCACCAGTGCAGAGCCTCAAAAAAGCCAGATCTCTGCACAGTTTAAGCATATTTCAAACAGTTTTAGACCAGAGTTACATGAGTTGTAGGGTGGCTGACGTGCAGCATGGCGCGGATGCTTGGGTGCCCATTGGCCCTTTGAACAACAGTGCGGGCCACTGCCAATGGCATCTGTGGAGAGGCAATTTGTGTGTCATTGCCAGCAGTGCAGAGCCTCAGAAAAAGCCAGCTCTCTGCATCAGTTTAAGCATATTTCAAATAGTTTTAAGCCAGAGTTACATATGAGTTGTATGGTGGCTGACGTGCAGCATGGCGCGGATGCTCAGGAGCCCGTTTGCCTTTTGCACAACAGTGCAGGCCATTGCCAATGGCATCTGTGGAAAGGCACTTTGTGTCATTGCCACCAGCACAGAGCCTCAAACAAGGCCACACAGAGCCAGCTCTCTGCACCAGTTTAAGCATATTTCAAATAGTTTCAAGCCAAAGCTACATATGAGTTGCAACAGGAAAGGGAGGCGATAAAAAAGAAGTTGCAAGCCCACTTTCTCCCAGGTGCTGTCTCAGACAGGTATCATTAGTTTCTTCAACAAAAATGTGATCTGCTGTTGTGTCAGAGCCCTCCTCTCTCCACAGGAATGTCTTCCACAAAATGACTTTTTTAGTGCTTTTAACATCTGCTCATCCCTCATAGTGTGATGAATTAGTAAACGCCACACATGCAGCTGTACACAGAGGGAGAAGAAGCAGATCCCACTATCTGCCCAGCAAGGAAAAGCTGCACTGCTGGTTATGACTTTCCCTTCAATGTTCTTCATTTTCCTTCACCATGTCAGTGAGCCAGGGACTTGTCAGTGCTTATTTGAGTTCAGCCGCACAGCAGCCCTGAGCTCTACGCATTCACATCAAGAATTAGATGAAAAGAAAAGTTAAAAAGCTGACTTACTGGTCCAGTGCCAGCTGTGAGGTTCTGGAGAGCTCCCAGGGATGCTTCTTGGGTGTAGTTTCTGGTACTCTTTGCTATTAAGGAGAGGTATATCCTAATCAGGGTAGAATGCCAGAGCGACTCAACACCTTTGGGATTGCTCTTTTCCTCAGGAAGCGGGGTGTCCTGCTGCTTCTAAACATGCCAACAGAACAAGCCTTTAGAAACAGTGATCTCCATAGCTTAATGCACCACAAGCTGAACTAGCCATTTTGTAACTCTGCACGACCAGGTTATTTGGAGACTGTCAAGTTCTGAGCTCAAATAATAACGTGCAAAATTTCAGTATTTAACGATAGTGGCCAGTCCATCCAGTGAGTATTCCTCAACTGATAAAACATTTGCTATGTCATTGGCATCAGAGAGTTGGTGTCAAGAAGGACTATCAATAAATTTGCATTTTTGGGGCAAGGAAGTGTCACCCTACCAGATACATCAATGACAAACTGTTAATTACATTACAGGCTTATTCTTCAGAGTTTGCTACAAGTTATTAACCAAATGAGATGTAACTAATCATGTACTTTACCTCTTTTACTTTTCTGCTCCGTGTTCCAAAACAGCCTGGTGTTTTATCATTGTTAGAAATATTTCTTCTTTGCACATATATGCTCTGGGCATAGGTCTCAGGGAGCTCTAGCTCTAGCTGGTAGGAAAGATTGTGTAGAATGCACACACAGTTCTCTGTGGCCTAAAATAACAAAAGAATAGAAATTTAAAGCTTTGGCAAGTGTTGAAGGGACATGTACAGACACGGGAGGAGATCTGTGGATCTTCAGTAAGTGACTGCAGAGTTTCTAATGCCAGGCTTCAGGGCAGTGATCCTCCAGACTGAGAAATGAAACATGCCCTGGGATGTTCCTGAGCCTAGGGGGGTATTTGGGGCTGCACTGGGAGTGGGGTCTGTGCCTGTTGGAAATGGTCCTGGGACATCACAATTCCTCAGCTGCGCCTGGGAATTGTTTGGGCGAGTGCTGCTCGACACAGAAATGTGCCAAGAAGAGTTTAAGGGCTTAGGAGCAAGGATGATCATGTACACACCTCACCACAGCATCAGCAAGAGGAAAGCCTTTCATCTGCCCCAAGGAGGAAGCATTTTTCTGTGGTGGAATGATTTTTAAAACTAGTCATTCCTTCCTGAACGTGGCTAAGGTCAGGCCTACAATTTCTGAGTGATGAGTCCAGTGGCAAAGAGCTTTGTTACCACTGCTCCTCTTTAGAAAGCCAAAAAGGAATGAGTGCTTTTAAGACAAAGTGCAGCAGGGAGCTACTGGCACACGTTTAACGTGCTGGATTCTCCCTGAAGCTAATGGCACTGGATGCAGGGAGATGGGCAAGCTCAAGTAACTAATCCTAGAACAGAGCTGTAAATGTGCAGTAATTACCACTACACAGCACAAGCCATGGCAGGCCCACCAGAAAGTGCCCTACAGGCTGCAGCCAATGTCAGTGACAGCTGCTCTTCTCACCCAGCTGAAAGAGAAGCCTGTGCTCCAAGGATCTGTGTCCAGGCTTCACCTGCACTCACTGCAGGGAGGAAGAGTGAGAGAAACTGGCACTGGAGGTGTCCATGTCCTTGTAGTTAATGCCTTAGGCTTAGGCAGCAAGGAAAAATAGTGCAGCTTTTTTTTTTTCCTAAAAAAAACCTAGGAAAATTGGTTCTGTTCTAAATGATGCAAGCTCCTTAATCACACTGCCACCCAAAGGGATTTAGGTTCTTCATTTCCTAAGGGGTATGTAGCATTAAATATATAGGAGAGTAGCATTAAATATATAGGAGACTAAGCAGATTAATTTTTTAAGCTTCTGGCTATCTAGCACCCTGAGATAACCAAAAAGGCAACATCTGACTCTTTTGTGTCCCAGCATTTCTGAAAGCTGTGCTTGTATCTCACTTAAAAAAAAAAACCAAAAAAACCCCCAAAAATCAACAAAAAACCCCCTCCAAAACCCCCAAAAAACAAAAACAAACAAACAAAACCCCTCCCCAAAAAACCAAACAAAAAAAAAACACCCAAAAACCCCCAGAAGTTTCTACCTTTCTCTCTAGAGATTCTGCGAATGTTTTCCGAGTGCTGAGTTATACTATTCTTTTAGATTGCAGGATAAAAATGCTTTAAAAAGCTTCTGACTGGACTTTCACCTTTGGTGGCAGTTTTAAAATAGTTAATAAATAAGTTTTGTAATTGCACCATAGCTGTTTCTGAACATTGGTTTCTAAAAAACAACAGAAAAATGTTCACTTGGCAATTTCCTCCAGGAAAACACTTTTCATCTCAAAGGGTACCTTGTCATTGGGCTCATGGTCTGCAATAGCTCCTTGGATATAATACACAAGGGAATCAATCAAACCCTCACATTCTCTCATCTTCTTCCTTCCTTCTGGGCCAGCAGAGCTCATGTTTCTGTGCAGGAAAGAAAATTTGGGGAGAAGAGATTTAGTCAAAGGGATTTTCTTGTGCTCCTCTCACAAACTCTTCCAGCCAAAACTTAAAGATACAGAAGTTCAGGTTGACTGCTTCTTTTCTTTAGAGGTGTAGGACAATCTGAGGTGTAGGACAATCTGAGCCTCCTCTAGATAAAACTTTCATTCCCAGACAAAAATAAATACTCCAGGGAAACAAACCACTGTGGTTGGATGGGTGAGATCTGACTCAAATTTTCATCTCAGGGTTGAGTCAATCCTTTTTAAGCAGTCAAAAAAAAAAAAACAAACAAAAAGAAAACAAAAACAACCAAAAAAACCAAAACTTGGACTTGTTTTCCCTATTCCATTTTCAGTTATAATTTTAATATTCAGGATGGTGAAAATATCAGAGGAGAGATGCCTGAGAAAATTTCCATGCACACAGGTGTCCTTTAGAATTAATTTACCTACACTGAGCTGGTTCTTGATCCAAGATGAGCCATCATCAGGCATGTGGTCTGAGAGTTTCAGCAGCATCTCCACATCCACAAGCCCAGACCCACCCTCTGCCTGCCTTTCAAGTAACATTTGCTGGGCTTTGTAGTAAACCAAGTACCACTTACAAATGAATTACAAAACTGATTTAAAAACTCTTGAAAAACCAAACACACACTTGCTGCTTGAAGCTGCTTGGCTCTAAACAACCTACTGGTTTCCATGGAAGAAACAACACTTAGACTTTTGGGGTGTAATTATTTTTACAAATCAGCAAAATCTGAATTATGGATTACCAGAATTATAAATCCAGGTTTTTGTTCTTTGGTTTTTTTTGGGTTTTTTTTGACTCCCGGCAGCTCTGGTGGACAAAGGACTGCACATTCAAGCTTCTTTGTTTGAAATAACATTAACTATTAGCCATGCCAATCTTAGCATCCATCAAAACACAGAGGGATATGTTCCTTTAGATAGTTTCAGGTTGTTTATTTTCCATGCTTTGCCCACTAAAAATTACAATGTTCACAATTTTATTAATGACAAAGCCAGTAAGGTTTAAGCATTCCTGTGGCTTATAACTGTAAAATGAATGTAGTATTTTATACACTATCATTTTACCTCTACTCACTTTTTTCCTCTGGGAAGTACATGTTCAGGTTACATACCTGTAATATTACATTTTTTACATGTAATTTTTTACTGTAACTTTTTACATGTAATTGCATACTGTAATTACAATTTTACTTTAGGTCATTGTGTTAATGATGTCTCTATTTATGAGTTCATTTATTCTCTTATGGAATTATACATCACAGAATCAATATTCAGATCTCACAACATGGCCTGCTGTAGAAATCCCTTTGGAATTTAATTTTACCTATATATGTCATGTTCAAGGCATGTAACCCTTTCCTATGCTTATGCTGACAGAAGTGTGCACGTTACAGCCCTCCTGGTGCATAGCAAAAATAGTTTCTGGGGCACACAGACTAAAAATACTGTAAAAGATAAGTGTGGAATTTCCCTTGCCAAAGACACTTCAGCTGATGCAGTGTTTGGTTTTGTCCCACATATTCTAAAATCCCCCAAACTTTTTACAGCTGCTCCTGCTGTGCAAGGAGAGGCCATGCCCTGGCTTTGGTGTCAGCAGGAACAGAGCAAAGAGCTTTTCCAGCTCAGGAGGCAGAGAAGAGCCTGAATTAGGGGCACTGGCCTGTTCTGCAATGGAAATGAGTTCCTGGGGTCTGTTTCATTAAGAATTTGATGCTCATCCAGATTCAGGTATCAGTGTGTGTCCCTGTGCACGCCTGTACACTCGTGGTTTCTCCTTTCCCCCCTTTCCCTGTGTCCTTAGGGAAGGGAAGAACATTGTGGACTGGGAAGGGAAGAGCTCCTGCTCTCCCCCCCCTCCAAACACTGCTGTACCCACCCTACTCAAAACAGGGGCAGACAAGAGCATTTCAGGCAAAACCTCAGCAGACTGCTTAAATTTGTTTGCTGATTGAAGCTTAAGAAATTCCAGGAGATATAAATATCATCCAATTTGTAAAAAAAAAGAAAAGTTCTGAGAAGTGTCACAGAAATGTAAATTTAAATATATATTCTTTAGAAACAATGGAGATATTTTGCTTAGAGAATTTAAAAACTGACTTCATCTTGGCTTCCTAAGAATTGAAATGCCACCCTCTAAGCTTGGGAGTTGGACTTGACTGTAGTGGAGTTCCAGGAGGCCCTGAAATACTCAGTGCTTGTAAAATTGAGGAGAACACAGCCTTGGGGAGACTGGCACTTGTGGGGATGCTCTCCTCTAAATGACTCAGAATTGACCATTTGGCAGCACCCACTTATGAAAAATCTCTGACTCTGGGCATTCTTGGCTGGGGGAATCCTGGTGATGTGCTCAAGCTCTGCCATTTGCTGATCTGCACATCTCATTGATCTCATCTTGCATTTGCTGCTGTCCCCTCTTGCACACATGCATGGTGCAACTGTAATCAGATATAACAGAGCTCTTTGCCCACAGTCCTGGGGTGAGGATCAGCTAATTTCCTGCTGGGAAATGTTATTTTGATCCAGAGTTGTGAGGCAGATACAAAGACATTCGAGGCAGTTAAACCAAGGGTGACTTTGAAGTAAGCAGAATGATGATAATAAATGTTCAATTAGCTGATAAATGACAGCAAATGAAAGGGATACTCCCTCTAAGCCAACACTGAGTCATGCACTGACTGTTGGAGAAGGTTCTTGAACTGCTCTGAAAGGTCCATATAACTGATAACAAGAAGGATTTTGCTCCTGGGACTCATTCTGCTAAAACCGGTAATGTGAATTTAATTCAAATACCAGACAGCATTTTGGGAAATTCTATTCCCTTCTTGCCTTGGACAGTTCAAAAATTCACCAAGAAGGTAAAGGTATCTGGGATCCACTTGGTAACTAGATGTGCCAGGCTTCAAACTGCTTGTTGGAAGTACCTAAATTCCTTTCAGGAACTGGGGGAGCAGATAAACTGAAGAGGGGGCAAGAGGAGATAAGAATGGATGGAAATAAAGGACTGGCAGTGCTATGCAAGAGGCCTTGGTTCAAAGACTTATTATCATCAGTCACTTGTTTTACTTTCTCTCTTAGGAGCTGCCACTGTGAGTCCAGGCTTTCCAACACATGGGGAGAGCTGTGGCTTCACTTCTCCCCAGAGTAAATGGAAGCAGATGTTTCTGCAGCCCCCTGGGTTGCAGTGACACAATTCCCTCCAAACACAGCTCCTCACTGTCCTTGTGGGTCACTGTGTAATTCACAAGGGGCTCAGAGGGGCTGGGGCAGACAAACTGTGAAAAATAATAATGAAAAAGGAAGGATGGCTTTAATTTTACTGGGTGAGAAGAGAGAGGTTAGCTGACTATACTGGAAGTAGTTGTCTAGAAAGTTTTGAAAAACTAGAATACGTAGGAGCACAGGATGTTCAGTTACAGGGCAGATAAAAAGGGAGGCTCTGTAGGGAAGTACAGCAGCTTCAACACTTAAATGTTCTGTAGGGGAAAATGTGGTAACTGTGTATCAATTTGGGAAAGCTCAGCATTGCAGAAGTTCTAGGAAAAGGTGTTTCAAGATAAAAATGGAACCAGTTCATTATCAGCTTCCAAGGTGTGATCCAACAGCCTTCCATTAACCTTCCTTTCAGAGGAAAAGCCATGCCAGAGGTTCACTTATGTATATAGATAATATTCAAAACCATGCCTTCTACATGCTGCTGGGATCTTATCCTTTCAGACTCAGAGGAGATGGGGAAATATGTTGAAGATTTTTATCCTTTGTATTGGAACTAGAAGCAGAACTTTTATGTGTAAGACTTTCAGGCCAAAAAAAAAGAGATTTTACCTTTAAAATCCTACAGGACTTGTCTACAAATGTCTGTAACACTCTTCTAGATAGTTTAATACACCAGTTTTACTTCAGCTATTGTCAGGCAGCCAGTGAAGTCTTTTGATTTGGCTTACTCTGTGGGTCCAAGCAGAGTGCATTTTCTCATATTTCACAACCAAACAGCACTATTACTTATTTTAACTGCCAATTCAGAATTCCATGGTTTACACAGCTTCTTTTTACTACATAAAGCTTGTGACCTGTGGTTTCTGTACAGCTTTGCTTCTCCCAGGGTCTTAAGACAAAATGCAGACCTAGAGAATGGGATTAGCAAATCCTTCTAAGGTCAGACTTCCTTATCAGTGACACAGAGATTCAGGACCCCACAGTGCTTCTGGCAGGAGCTGGGGACTGCTCTGGTCATGCTCTCATGCCAGTGCTTGAAGTACCTGCAATATTATCTGCTAGACATGGATTCACTTCTCCTGCTGCTGTTTTCTCACAAAGGATGAAGGAAGCTTTAATTTATAATCTGGTAGTGGTGTAGTGCAGTGCACATACCCCCACCAGGTGCTAGGGTTGGGTTTGGGCTGTGCTTGTCCCTTTTCAGCCAACAGTTTTATGGGAATTTTTGTAAAGAAGTTCTGGTATTCTCCTGTAACTAAGAACAGTACTGTGCATAATGCATTGCACTTCAAAGCACAATTTTTACCCCCTAATAGGAGCTGCAGGCTACAGACTCTACCAACACACCCAACAAACACGTTAGCATCACAAAAGGGAAGACTAATTACAGATTTACATTCTGGCAAATAAGTAGACTCTTAACATATTCATAGGTAACATCATTCCCTCAGTGCACACTTTCAGTACTCAGTGGTGTGCTCTTCTTTTTACTGATGCAGAGATTTTGTGTTTTCCTAATACATAAGGTAGGAATAATTCCAGTGACCTAATCTGGGAGGTGAGTCAATTTCCAGAGAAGAAATGCAAACTGATTAATCCTAAAGGTCTCAGCTATTTAGTCTGTACAAATAGGTAAGCCTCATTCAAAACTACTCTGTGCTAGAAAGTATGTGGCAATCCTGCAGATCATTTTTCCTGGGAATTTTCAAGTCCTTCTTTTTCTATTTCTAATTTTCAGTGTTGAGGCTCTTAGAAATGAGGACTAGAATGTGGATGCCATATTTTTAAAATAGGTAATGTATCCTTAAGAACCTACATAAGGGCAGTTTTAGAGACTTTTAGCTAAGGCTGGAGAGCTCCCAGCAATTCTGTAGCAGCCCCAAGCACTGACTTTGTGTCCAGAGTAAGGTTAACCCAGGAATCCACTTTCATTTAAAAGAACCCAGGTACTGTTACACCTTATTTGTCACAGAACAAGCCCTGTCAATCTGCTGAGACAAGCTCAGGAAGAGCAACACCAGCTAAACCTGAGATTATCTGTGCCACCATCAGCTGCCTCATAGGGAAGGGACAGTTCCAGAGTCCAAGCACCAAGAGAGGAGCAGCCAGACTGGTTTCTGCACAAAAAGGCAGCTTGGGCTCATTAATTTGAAAAAAGACACCCTCCTTCCTTTCCTAGACAGCAGCACTAAGTATTAGCTAGAGAGGTTTTATTATGGGTGGTCAGTGTTTATTTGTATTTGTTCTTGAGTCATCAGAGTAAACAGAAGTTAATTGTTACTTAGAGATGAAGTTAATTAGCAGGTAGTGGTCTGACAGGAGTTCCTGCAGAAAAAGGTGTATTGTTGTTGAGTATTTTGTAAGGCTTACAATTCATTTGTCTTCTGAAACCACACGAGTCAGACACAGAGCTGTTGCACAGGAAAAATCAATGCCATACACATACAAATAGTCTGCCATAGGACATGTCAGCATAGCAGGTATGTCTGAGGCAAAATGGGCACCTTTCCAGACTCCAAATTCCAAACTTCATTCCTTGTATTTTTCTAGAAGGAGTTTAAACCTCAGGTCATGCCTTTGCAGTTGTACATTACTCCTTAGGCAGTTCAAGCTGTGTCCTTTTGTGCCTTTTTAAATGTGTAAACTTACTTAATGTGCAATGACTTTGAACTTGCAAAGGGCTCCCAGTCTATAGACTGTTAAAGATGTTTTTATTGAAGATGTGATTTTTATACTTCAGCCATTTAGAGGTGTGTTCACTGAGGCCTTGGGTGTTTCTCTGTGGTAACTGCTACTGTGCCCACGGGTCTATTAGCAGAGTGCAGCACTAAATACACAACTATAAATCTATTCCTCCACCCCATGGCTGCAACTTGCTTTTGAACTAGTGCAAAAGGCTGGACAGGGATCGCTCTGCTTTAAAAAATGGCTGTCCCATAATTTAGGTTGAATCACTTTCTAATCAGTTTAGGCACAGATTATGATATCTTCAAATAAGCATTTTTGGTAGCAGCTGGAAACAGAAAACATTTATGTGCTTGTAGGTACCATGTCCCCTTTCTAAGTCATCTGTTTGCATGAGAAGTGATTGTGGCTCTATGTATTCATCCAAAAATAACTGAGCAGACCTGTTGTGTCATCACCACTGCTTTGGGCAGTTGTGGACAGAGTGCTCACCTCAGGCATCCTGTGGCATTGTAGAAGATATCAGGGTCAGGCAGAACACTTGATTTTGGGTAATCTCTGTCTGGCCAGCCCGAGTGGGGGATGAGGACAGCCTCAGTCAGGGTCTGCAGGGCTTCTCTGACCAGCAGGTGCTTCAGCTGGTCATTGGAGGACAGGTTCCACAGCAAACCTGGAACAGCCACGAGAAAATCAGAGAGGCAAAAAGACTCCTCTGCACTTTGACAGACTTCATCTCACAGCCCTTGGTGTTAATGAGTGAAGAGCCTGCCTGGCACTGATAAGCTGGAGAGAAGCAGAAGGGATTGGTAAATGCTCACCAGCCCTCATCCAGGGACATGGAAACAGGGCAAAAATGGGGGCACAGTGATCCATGTGAATAAAGTAAAATCTCTACACAGTCAGTCCAATACCCAGCCAAGAAGTGCAGCTTTCCATGGCTCTGCAATGTCTGTCTGCTGCAATCACCTTCTCTGTAGCAAAGCAGCACAAGCTGAGGGAAAACAAACTCACAAAAGGGACAGATGGGAGGTGCAGAGAGTTTCCAGGAGATCTGCTGGAAGACAGGAAATGCCCCTTACCAAGTTTCTCTAACACTTGAGAGTAAAATTTCTCATAGGAGGGAAAGCTGTTAACACTGGTTGGCTGCTACTGCCCAGACATTAGTCACTAAACAAATCATTCAGTAATGCTACAGACCTTGTCCACTCACAATCTCCAAGGCTGATTTCAAATATAATCTTGTTGAACTGAACAGGTTCCATTATGTTCTGTTCCTACAGACAACAATTCTTTTTAAAGTCCTCTTCCCTTGGAAAACAACACATATTTCTGCTTTTCACTACAAAGGCATTCATTGTTCCTCCAGCTTGCTGCTCCAAGTTTCACAGACCTCCTCCTCCACACACTGGCAGAGTATTAGTGAATGTTCCTTTCATCAGCTCACAACAAGAACAACAACAAAAAAATGTTTCTTTTGTATCTCCTTACACTTTGAATTTAATTTCAGTTATTGTGAGCAACAGTAAAATCAAAACAAAAGCCAGCCAGAAGCAATCCATTCCTCCTTCTGGGATCAGCTCTTCAGCCTCTGAATCAGGGGATGAAAGGAAGAATGTGCTTTTCTGAAGGATAGGTAAGGCTTACAGGAAAACAGACAAGCAGTCCAAAGGGCATTGCTAAGCTAAGCAAGTTAAGACAGAAGGGCACAAATGCAAGGAATGGCACAAGGACAGAATTAAAAAGAAAAAATACATTTGGAATTACAGGCAGATACTTAAAATTGTCAGAAGAGAATCTGAGATACTGCTCTCACTGTAAATTTTCCAACAAGAACCCTACCTTTACCCACAGGCACTGTTCCTTGGGCTCAGAAGGATTCTCTCAGTGGTATTCTGGGTGTGGATGAATTTGTACACATTAGGAAATGTCTTTAGGAGTGGATTGTTTCCTTGCACCTACGCTATTTTTTTAGGAGCACAGTTTTCCCTTAGACGGTTATTTGGAAAAATGGGTGGGTCTGGTTTTAGATTTACATTTCTTTTAATGACAGTTCTGCTCATGCTGTAATCTTCCCCGCAGGAAAAATTTTCTTTCATTTCTTATATTTATGCTGCATGATAACAGGATCAGGAGGTTAGCTGCTCCCTGGAGGCTCATCTGGCTTACCTTTAAAAGCTAAAATATTTTGGTTCTTTCATGCCACAGCCATTTTATTTTCTGTTCCTCAGTATGCTCTCCAAATACTACAAAACTCCAATCCTGTCTTAGGTCCCAGAAATGAAATGAAAATTTTGGAGGAACCTCACTCCTTTCCCAAGAGTTTTTTAAGCAGCTTGTGTGCCAAAGAAAGGACAGAGCCTCTGCTGACATTAAGAGTATCAATGCTTTTGTGAAGCTCCCAAATTCAGTCAAATTCATTTATCTCCACACACTTGGGTTGCTCTCAGTCTTTTCTCAGCACAGTGGCTCCCTGTGTGTTCCTAAGCCTGGGTCCTGAAGAAAATCCAGGCCATCAAAGTATTCCTTGAGAACACATGATAAAATATGGATTAATGTTAGGCAAGTGCTTGTCTGTATTAACACATTGATGGTCCTCATAAACCAGTGACCTTTAAAGATAAGCTTCTGAGATTTACTTATCTCAAGCGCACCAGGACTGTATTTCTGACAGGTAATGAAGTACAGTATCAGAAAACTGCCATCTCAGAGTTTTAATTTCCTTCTCTCCTAAAACTTCCTTATTTCATATATACACATTATATATATATATATACATACACGTACATATATATAAAAGATGTATATATTATATATATTTATATATATTTATATACATTATACATTTATATATTTGTATATATTTAAATATAAATATTATATAATATTTATATATTATAAAATATTACATATTAATTATATATTATTTATTATATAAAATATATAAATAGATAATATATTCTTATTATCTATTACTTATTATTGTATATAGATATATGCATATATAATATATATTTATTATATATTATTTATTATTATATATAAATATATATGGAAAATATATATTTTCATACTTTTGTCAGGTGGAGTGCTTTAGTACCAAGCTTTCCACACAGCAGTAGAAACCAAAAACTTCCCTCTACTGAGCTTAGACATCTTTATTATCTATTGCATGCTTTCAATCCTTGGCCAGGAGTTTTTCACTACAGTTCAATGAGGTATTATCAGGTACCAAGATGGTTTTATAAATCTTTTATGGGCAAAGACATTTAGCTGAATAGGATGCCATATGTTTGGAAGTCCCTAATTTACAATCAGAGCAGGATGAGGAAAGACAAATGGACTTCTGGTGCTGACTGGTGTAAGACCAAATCTTTCACGTTAACATTTTCCTGGAAGTGTACATTTTAGAGAGATTGCATGCATAGATATGATATTCCACTAGTCCTGTATGAAGTCAAAGGCAATGCAAGAGGTGAAATTATTCATCTAATCTGCCCTTTCCTCTTGTAGGCTCCTTGCAGCTTGCTAGGGAGCTGGAAGAACTGCTCAAGTGATAGCAAAAAGCATGCCCTGGTGGCATTTTCACTAAGGTACCCAGGGCATTTCCTCCTGGCTGCACATTTGGTCTCAAACAAAGTAAGAAACACTTCTCTCTTGCTGTATTTTTAAAGTCATCCTTTGCAACTGATAGGCATGAAAGCACATCATAACATTTTGCTTTACACAAACTACATCATCCTGCTTGGCACAAATATTTTTTGGTGTCTTCTTTGTTTTGTGAGTAAACATTCACATTCAGTGACAGCAGTAATTGCTGAAAGAAGATTTTCCCTTTTCCATTTCCACATTGGTGAAGGGGAAGACAGTAATATTCACAACATACATATGAGTTATCAGGCACATTCAACATTTTTGTCAGAAATTATGGAACTGCTAGCAAGGAAAGAGCATTGGCTTTCCGGCCACTCTGCCACCACTTTCACTGCTTCCCTCACTGGTCTGTGACAGTACTGAGAGTTAAGGCACTGTACAGTAAATTACTACATGACCCAGTTCTGCAACTGATGAGTGTGAAAAACTTCAAAACATTTTAACGTTGCAGAGCTGCCCCTAAAAAAAACTGCTGCAGAACTGAGCTAAAAGAGAGCCAACAATACAAAGCTTTGTTCTCAAGCTTAGGGAGCAGAGTATTTCAAATACTTTAAAGAATGCAGAATTACAGAAAGTCTCAACATGTCTTTGCTTCAGGACAGGGCTGTTGGGCAATTTCAGTATCTTTTCACGCACTGTTCTCTTAATAGATTTTGTTCCTGGTGTCTTTAAAGCTCACTTGAAATAAACCCCCATTCATTTATTCATGTTTTCCATTTATAAAATATAAGCCTGCTCTTCCTTTGCATGCTAATTAGAAAGAATGTGGGTCACAAGCAGTGGAATTCCAGGAGGCACACTGGGGACTGCAGGGATGAAGCAGGAATCTGGGGCAGGGGGTTTGTGGGGAATAGAACAAGCACTTTCTGTCCAGGGCAACTGGGTGTTCGACTTCCAGTGGGTGCTGTCAGCACAGAGTCAAAAAATTAAAGTTGAGCTGCTGTGTAAGTAGCAGGCATTAATTATGGTCCCTAGGGAGCCTGACTTTCTTTTCTGGAATATCAAGGAATTAAAGCTTCCTGCAAGCACGCTCACTTCATCTCTGAAGAAGCTTTAAGAGGGGAAGTTTGGTTCCCAATCTCTTGCTACTGACTGAAAGACTGGTCTTGAGTAATGACCTTGGAATTTCACCCTCGGGGAATTGCTCAGAGCAGGTGACAAAGTTTTTGTGTTTAGTCACTAAACAATCGTGTACCTCTCCCTGAGAGCTTTTGCACTGCTTAAAGCACTTCACGCCCGGCTGCAGAGCAAACACTACCTGTGATTTGCTTCTTGGTCTCTATGTCCCGGGTGTGCCGGAGCAGGCGGAGCAGGAGCGGGATCCCTCTCTGCTCTGACACTTCCAGCTTGTTGTCATTGTCCTCAAACACCAGGTTCCTCAGAGCACCACAGGCTGCCCGCTGAATGTCCTCATTCTGAACCTCAAGGAGCTGCAAAAGCTTGGGGATGCCACCGAGTGAGAAAACCTGCCAGGAAACCAGAGCACAGAATGCTCAGATGCTGTAAATGACAAACTCCCCTTTGCCCCTGCCCCACCAAACGTTTAAATAGTCATAGAGACTCCTTTCCTTTGCTCCTATTTGAGAGACTTGATCATTAATCATACGGACATGGCTATTAACCTCTGGGCTTTTGTGTGATTAACATAATTGAAATCCACAACTAAGAGAGGCAACATGTTTTCATAATTAATATCAGAGAATGATGCTAAATCTCTTCTAGCTTTGCCACAGATTTGTACTCTCTGACAAGACATTTAATCACTCTGCTCTTCAGCTTCCATGTTGGTGAAATGATTATTTGAGATTTAATTCTGGAACATTTATAAACAGGTTGTTCTTTTTTCTTTCTCAGCAACCAGCCGGATGACAAGACAGTGCTCTTCCCAATGCATGTATTTAAAGTGTATTAAAAACCAATGCATTATACTTAATATTTCTTAGCTATGCCACACAGAGGAAGAACAGTAAAAGTAAGCATCAAAATGTAGAGCATTAAGCACTGTTAGCCAGCTATCTACTGAATTATCTCCATTTAGCACAGACTACTTTTCAGTGTTTAAATCTTCTGGAAACGAACTTTTGGCCCTAAATGAATGAAGAACTTAAAAGATGTTATTTTACAGTAGCTGTACAGAAACAAATCGTTTGTTGTGGTGAATGAAGAATCCCATACAAACTGTGATATGACACAAGCAAGCCTGAGCTGACTCAGGAATGAATTTGCTGTGGAAAGTTCCTTACATTAATGTACCATTGCCAACAGTCTCCTCCAGCATCTCAAAATGCCATATAGTTTTGTGGACAAACTCACCCTTGTGCAGAACCAACAGCACATGAAAGGCTCAGAAATCTGATACAAGTGTCCTAAACAGTCCAGAGTTTAACAACAAAAAGAATTCAATACAACCAGCAGGTGCTGGCAACACGAAGAAATGGAATGCAACAAAGCCTTTTGTCCTTCGTGGAGTCAACTACACAGCCTGGCAGCCTCTCCTGTGATCCACCTGTACAAAAGGCACAGCTTCTTTGTCCTGCTCTGCTGAGCTGATTCCCCCTGCAGTCACTCAGCAATCACCCAAATGCCAGCAGAGTGGGATACAGGAATATCTGTGGTGCACAGAGCAGGCTGAAGGCACACCAACCTGTTTCACTGCAGTGGATCAGCCCTTTTGACACCAACACAGCAATTGCTTGGTTTTTAAAAATATTTCTGCAGACTGTCGGTCAGTAATTTTAAGGCATTTATAGCTCTTGTAAAAGGAGTGCTATTTCAACCTAATTTGCTGAGAATTTACAACAGCTATTGACTGGTTCTTCTAAATTTTCATTAGTAGACAAAATTCACCAAAATGCTGAGAAGTTCACAGAAACAGAAAAACCACTAGACCCACAAACTCTCAAATATCAGGGAGCAATAGACACAGAATGCAGGCTGAAAGGCTAAAGAGGGGACACAAGACCATGCCAACGTGAGCAAATCTGATGGGCACCAAACAGAAAAGCTCATTACAGGATAGACAGGAAAATGTAAGGCAGCTTCAGGCTGACTGCTCCAACCTGAACACTAGTCAGCCTCTGTTTTTCTGGGAAGCTGCCTGAGAAAGGTCTGTGTAGTAATCCACTTTCAAACATTCAGTTTTGAGGCTCTGTCCTCAGTTTGAAGTTAAGGTTGACACCTGTACTGTTATTTTCTCCCAAAATTGTCTCTGATGTACCCTAAAGCAAGTAAAAAGGACAGAGACACATTTGGCTGTCACTGAACTGAACTGCACTGCATGCCCATAATTATGGAAGTAAGGCTGGGATTACTGAGCATATTACAAACCAAAGCAGGTGTTAAAATGAACAATCACCTTACACTTTATTGTACAGAACTGTTCAGCAGGAGAGACATATTTGTGTTCACTAGTGACATTTAAAGAAAAGGAAGAGAGAATTTTTTTAATAGACCCTTTCAAAAAACTTCCAAGAGACTTAAGTTTCTCATAAGAGAAAATTTCAAATCTTGAAAATTTGGTCAATCTAAACAATGTACTAATGCATGTGCACAGCTCCAGTGAGCCCTTCACATTTTTGCTAATCCATGTACTTTTTAAACACACTTGTGCAGTCCTAACAAACCCTGAAGCTTGGATAAGTTTGCACTGTCCTCAGAATTATATTTTTTGGGATATTTCTGTGGGCAAGTCAAAAAAAGGAGACAGGAGCAACTATATTGACAAAATTCAGACTCCATGATTTTTAAAGGCTGAAAGAATTTGTTTGTTTGGCAGAAAAAGGGCAAACTGAGTGGGTATACAAGTGGATTCAAAAGAACTGCAGCAAAACACATCAATGCATTTTAGAGAAAATATCTACCATCAGTATCCTACATGGTTACTCAGACTGCCTTCTTTCTTTTCATGCTGGCATACAGTGCCATAAAGTATAGAATAGAATAAAGTATAGAATAGTATAGAATCTGATTTTCTCTGCCTGATTGCAACTGGCAAAAGAATAATGACTTACTTTTCTCCTGGCATCTGCTTTTTGGAAGCACTCATGCTGAATGAAAGTCACTGCAGCGAGGATCCTGGGGGTGGACTGGGTATTTTCACTCTTCAGAATGCTCACTGCACGCTCCAGGGTCATCTCCACTTCTGGGCTCCTTCAAAGTACAGACAGAGAGATCCAGTGAAGAAAGACTGTAGAAAAATGATCAGTCTTGTAAAACTAGGATTTTTGTGTTTTTCATGTAACTCTAGCTTTTCTTAGAAATTTTTTTCCTTTTCCAGTAGCAGAAAATATCATAATGGCTTTCAGAGGTACTGACATTCAGGGGGAAGAGAAAGTCATAAATAGAAATGTGGTTCTGGAGTAAGCAGGTCATGCTTTAGGTTATAATAACAAAATGGAAATATCAGTAGATGTTTGTATCAGTGTTTCCATCCAATGGATGAATGAAGAATGTGAAAGGGAGGATGAAGAAGTCGATGAGGATCAAAAGAGGGCCATAACCATGTCAGAGTGACTATTACTGGCTGTGAAGATACTTTGATATTTTCCTCAATAGTGAGAGGATTGATTCTTTATATTTGTCCTTATGCCTTTCATCAGTGTCTTAGTTCCCAGACCACACCCATGCAGGATTCAGAACGTCATTTTTTCAAAAAAGGAAGATGTCCTTCTTTGGAATAGATGGGCAAAACTATTTTTCAGGTGGGAAAAACAAGAATACCACTCATTAAACTGAGTATGTAGAGATTCTGTGGTAGAAAGCCACTGTAGAGAATATCAAAAATATGTGCCACCACTTCCCTTCCAACATGTTTGCTTAAATGATTGATTGTGTTAGACAACCATATAAAAAAATGCAAAGAGAGGTCACCAAACACATTTTTTCCCCAGTAAATGGAACATAAAACAATTAATGGCACAATCAGGTGCATTAGCTCTGGGACAGGTGGTTATGCTCCCCAGACTTTTTATTTACTTTTGGTTTCAAATATGCTGCATGCAGATAAAAAAAAAAATGGGGAGAGAAAAGTTGAGAAGAATGTGAGCATTCTTTTATTTTCTTTTTTAAATCCAGAGCATTTTGTAGTAGCAGCTGTGCCACCAGCCAGAAAGGAATGAGAGGGCAATCTGTGACCCACAGCAAAGCAAGCAGTAATTTGCAATAACTCCCCACTGCAGAGCTACCAGAATCAGAATGGTTTACTTCATAATCATCTCAGTAAATGAATCTGCAGTTAGACACTTTAACTCAATTGTCTTTTACATTAAAATTAGCACCTGGGAAGTAGATTAGCTGCAGTTGAAACTTTAATTTTTTTTTCTACAAACTAAGCATAAATATTAAATAATAATTAAAAATGCTCAGAAAAGGGGAATATGGAAAATTAGCCAGATGATATTCCTTCTTTTTACTCTGTAGTGGAACTGAAAAACAGGCTTTTCAAACTTTGGTTTTAGTTACGTGTCTTAAATCAGCAAAGGTTTTGAGACAGTGTTATAAACCTGTCCATGTGACCAACCATGTCTACCTGTTGGACACAGCAATAATTTTGGAGCATTGTGACCAAATTCAGTCATCTTCTGTGAGCAGCAGGCATCTCTGATGTACTGAATTGTGGCATTTCACTGACCAGCAGCTGAGGAATGGAACCATGGGCTTCCCAAGGTCAAGGATGAGCTTATCCCTCAGGGCACACCAGAGAATTTAAGTGGGAACTCAAGGGGAGTAAAAACCTGAGATGGACACATGGACAGGCAGACAGTGCATTTCTAGGCGCTGGGTGTAGCTCTGCCCTGAGACTGACAGCAGCTCTGTGGCATTCACATTCTCTGAAAAATCCCTTTGCCCAGGATTTTTCTCCTGGGAAGCTGAGAAGTCTCAGAGCAAAAGGAAAACAATTCTTATCTCATTTGCTTCTCCTGTGTTGTGCTCATGTGGAATGTGTTTGGAGATTGTTTACCCACAGGTGATTGTTTCGTTGGATTCTGGAGTGAGTTGTTTTCACTCTTTGGCCAATCAGGGCCAAGCTGTGTCAGGACTCTGGAGAGAGTCACAAGTTTTCATTATTTTAGCATTCTGTAAGTATCCTGTCTGTATTCTTTAATATAATATAGTATTACAAAATAATAAATAAGCCTTCTGAGAACATGGAGTCAGATGCATCATTCCTCCCTGCCATGGGTGCCTGCAAACACAATGCAGCTCCCCAGTCACAGTTACCCCTCCATGCAGAAGGCAGAGGATTTCTCTCCTGTTGTGCACTGCCATACTTGGATTGCTCTCCACTGGATAAAAATAACATTCCCTAACGTTTTATCTGGCAGCAATAAGGGATGCGATACCATCTGTGAGCCTCAGTGGTGTTCATAAAGCTGCAGCACCCTAACTCCTCTCAAAACAGAATTTGATGCAAAGATTCCGTTCCCACCCTCAAAGTATTTACACGCAAACTTAATTAGCTCTGTGGCTGAGTGACACATGAAGAGACACCAAACAAATGGTCAGCCAGGCAGAGGTTGTTCAACAGAATAGTGATTTGACAGATTCTGATTTCAGCTTAATTGCAAAAGTATACCAGTTTTGAGACAAATACATTTTGTGTCAGCTTTCAGCACACTTAGAGGTCAGATTCTGCAAGCAGCCATTTCTCACACAGCTTCAGGTTGAGCCTCTCTTTTTTCTAAGCTCTTAATCATAAAGATGCTCTTAACTGCTTCACTTCACCAGAAGATACAGAGATAGCATCTCTGTACTTTGATTTTTTTCTACTTCGCTTTCATGGCATGAGCTAATTCTTTTACAGGAAGTTTGAAAATGCATTTGTGATATGTTTCAAATATTGTACACAATATTTGAAACGTATCACACTTTACTTACACAACTATTTTGCATTCTCTTAATTCACTTGGAAAGACTTAAATTGTGGCCTGAATTTCAAAAAAAGTATAGATTTCTGGAAAAAATAAATTACTCCAGAAACAAGCTTTTTTCTCCCCTTTATGTGACTAAGGGAGCAACAAGTAAGGTAGCAATATGTCAGATAAATGCAACCTTCAAATAAGAGAATGAGAAATAACAAGAAAACTGAGTGTGTCTACAAATTCCTTGAACTGAGAGAACTTCTGGCAAATGCTGAACCTAAAAACTGGCCCTTAAGGAATAATGCCATCACAAAGATTTCCAGCAGATCACAAACCTTCCATCTGAGTTAACATGGTCACATTAAAGCCACTTGCACAATGGCTCAAGACTGATTTTTACATCTGAAGGTGTTAAAATAATTTAGTTGATGCTTTTACAGACAGATAACCCGACTCCGGTGTCTGCACCTGCAAAAGAAAAGCCAAAATTGCTCCGACAGGTAATTCAAGATAAAAATTGTTGGTTGTGGCTCAGAAATGCATTCTAGAATGTGCCAAAAGTGAAGCAGATTAATAAATCAATGGGTTACATGTTTGTAAATTGTCTTACTGAAAAACAAAGTCCTCCCTACTGAAAAACAAAGCCAGGTACCTATTTTCAGTATTACTACTCCAAAATCTTTAGCTGTTGTGAGCTCTCAGCCGCATTTTTTGGAATTACTAGCTGCAAAGTCTGAATACTTATAAGTCAACATAAGTAACGTCAGATCTCCTCAGGCCTGCATCACCCAGAGGTGAAAATTTCTGTTGAGAACAGAAGTGAACAAAATATGTTTGTAAATATAATCATAACACACAACATTTACTTGACAACAAAAAATATCTGATCTGCACATGGCAGTGATTTGAGGCGATGTCTTTTCTCACAAAGAAAGAAACTCAGAAAAAGAAGAAAGATAGGTCTTCAGAAAAATGAACTTAACAGCTACAAGCTGTTATGGGGAAAAAGCCATGTCTTAATAATGCTGTTGTAAATTACAGTACCATTAACTTAGCAGAAATTTTAGGATCCCTATTTGAATTCTGAAACAACAGCAAAAACCAGAATAAACATGCAACCTTCTCCTGTATACCAAGTGGCTTGTTCTGTCCACTGAAATGTAACAGCTCTGGAAACATTCAAAATTATTTTAAAATTAGAAGATATTCACTCCTGAGAGGAAATTCAGAAATAATACAATTTCTCTTTTGAAAATGGAAGAGATTTTAAACATTCTGAAATCTCTGGAAAGGAATTTTTGGTGGGGGAAGTAATTTTAATTGGGGAAAAAACCCCAAAAAACCCTTTCCAGTATTTTAAATGATTTTCATGAAGTCTGGGGCAGATTTGGGACTTTTTGTCATGGAGCTAACAGAGTTTCAAATTAAGATAACTCCCTCAGAGCATGCAGGATCTCATGGTGGTGGGAAGCTCTGGGGTCTTGGGATTCAGAGCAGTTTGTATTTGTTCTAGGGAGGGATGGTGCTACAGAAAAATTTCTGCCTGTGTTTTACTTGAAGTTTATAAAAACTAAGAGGTGTCCTTGAAACCATGGAGGATTTTTAACTGGAAATTGTCAATCTGCCAAAAGCTGTCCCATTGCTACTTTTCTGACCTGTTCCTATGAGAACAGTGCTGATGTTGTATGGGTTCTTGTGAGCACATTTGCCAATTGTGTATTGTGATTTAGGCAGTAAATTATTCAGTGCTGTTTCACGTCTCCTGATAAAGTTAACTCTTGGCAAAAGGGTGTTCCAAACTTCAGCAGGAGCTGTACACCTTGCACTGTACATACATTTTTTCTCCTCTTTCCTCTGTTGCACTGGATGTGGCTTTTTAAAAGCCAATCTGCTTTCTGCCTCCTCTGCATTGATATTTCATGAACCAAAGGCTATCAGTGTACTTTCTAACAAGCATGTTCTTGTCAGCTGTGAGAGCCCAGAGCCAAAGCAGGTCCTTTACTATAGTAGGAGTCCTGGTAAATATCTGTATTGTGTAAGTGGTTGTGCCCCAATCCTAGTTGTTCTAAATGGGCTACAGCTGTGAAGTCCTTAATTGGGCAGCAGCTGTGGCTTGTGAATGCAACTGGGATAAAAGGGCGTGGGCTTTCCAGTCAGGGAAAGCCTGGAAGGAGCCCTGACTAAGAAGCAGCAACAAGCAGAGGAAGAAGCCTGTGCTGTGAGGAGCTGACCATAAGAAATATCACTGAGAAGGTACAAGACTTTAGAAATATGATTGCAACACTTTACTGTGCTTACCCCAGCTGAGATCCATTGAGGGTTGCTTGCTCGCTCTGCAGGAACCCATTCCTCCCCGCTGCAGCCACGGCAGCAGTCACTGGCATCCTCTTCCCATCCGTTTCTGCGGTGACACTGCCAATGGAAGCTGGCTGGGAAACCTCCCTCCTGCTCTGGGTGTTTCTGAAGGCGGTTTGGTAGAAGCTGGACCTCACAGAGTGCCTGTTCTGCGACAAGCGGGACGCGGCCGGCGACCTCACTTGTCCCACGGCGCTCTCCGAGGCCAGGAAGTTCTCCTTCTCCAGGAGGTTGCTCATGCTGCGGCTGTTGCCAGGCTGGTGGTGCAGAGGGGCAGCGGGGCTGGGGTAGGCACCGTCGAGGAGAGCAACACTGGCAGCCCCCAGGCGGGAGTGTCTCCTGAAGGAGCGGCCCCTGTGCACGGAGTCGCGGAGGCTGTACCCCACGATCTCGGAGCGCGCGTACCGCGGCGGCACGGTCCCGCTGCACCTCAGGCCGTCTCCTCCGTGCCTCAGGGACAGCCCAGCTGAGATCCCTCCATCGTAGAGATAATCCTTGGGTATGTAGGCCAACCTGTCCAGGTTTCGCTGGGGTGAAACCTCCAGTCTCTTCAGAGGCTGCCTTTGAGCTCTCTCCTCCATCGTCCTGTAGGCAATCCTTGTCCCCCAGCCGTTGGTGTAAGAGGATGGGGAGGCAACCTGCTCCAGAGGGCACGAAACAACAGGAGCCACGGTAAGGTCACAGCACTTAGGATTAGCAGCAGAGAAACCAAACCAAGACAAACCAAAGCAAGAGAAACCGAATCAAACAAAGTAAAGGCAAAAATTCTACAGTCTGATCTCAGAATCACAAAAAAATATGTGAATGTTGCCAAAATTGTGCACCAGTTGCGCTTCTTGGTACCTCCCTCATGGAGGCAGGAAGAAGTACAGTCTAAACACCAGGAGGCAAAGGCTAAGCATCCTGTCTTTTGTCATGAAATCAAAACAGCTGCATAGGTCAATTAAGGCAGGTAATGAACAGTTTGATTATTAATGGAGATTCTTCTGTTGAAACTCCTTGGGGATGAACACCAACATCTGCTACTAAAGCTAAATTAGGATTAGCAGCAGAGAAACCAAATCAAGACAACCCAAACCAAGAGAAACTGAATCAAACAAAGCAAAGGCAAAAATTCTACGGTCTGCTCTCAGAATCACAAAAAAATACGCCAACATTTCCAAAATTGTGCAGCAAATGGGATTCTGCCGCATAACTTGGTACCTCCCTCACGAAGGCAGGAAGAAGTACAGTCTAAACATCAGGAGGCAAAGGCTAAGCATCCTGTCTTTTGTCATGAAATCAAAACAGTTGCATAATTAAGCCAGGTAATGAACAGTTTGATTATTAATGGAGATTCTTCTGTCGAAATTCCTTGGGGATTAAACCAAGGATTAACCAACATCTGCTACTAAAGCTAAATTCAAGGCTGTCTAATAGACAGAAGAAAATTAATCAATCAGATATAAAAAAATTTATACTGAAGTGTTTTGATATTGGTAATAACCTTATTAATATAAACTTATTTAGCACCTGTGTTCAGTTGTGGTAGGTTCTAGTAAAAAGAGATGTTTGTTTAGCCTCTTAAAAATTCAGGAGACTGTATAACATTTCAAGAAAATTAAAATGACTGTTTCACCATCTCAACAACTTCCCTAATTCCACAGTTGCAATTTTAGATTATTTTTTCTTCCTATACCTAATGGGGAGAGACTGTATTAGATCATAATCTGGCTTTACAATCTTCTCTTTTCTGAACCAAAACCGCTGTCAACCTTTCTTTGTAGAATCTTCAAGATTCTTAGTTTTAGGTCCTGTTTGAGGCCTCTTGATTCTTACACTTTTTTTCTTGCATACTCCATTCAGAACCTTCCAGTACTAAATCAATTGGGACCCTATCTGGCCTTGAAATACAGGAGTCATGGACAAGTTTTTTAGAAAATCAGTAAGCATAGGGGCATACAGCCATAAAAGAAAGCTCTGTATCTCCACATTGTGTTACAGTTTAGAAATATTACAGGCATTTTTTAAGGTAAACTGAGAAGTTTACACAAACTTTTGACTGAAGAAACAGTGCTTAGAAGACAAATGCCAGACTGAATTCCCTTTATTTCACTGTTGAGGAGATCCTGAGGGTGACAGATGACTCACAAAAGGAGTAAAGGTTATAGAAACTAGCAGGCTCAGGCAAAGATCATTGGATATATCTGTTTATTCTACAGAAGTTATGCAAGGATATCTTTATCTGTTGTTTGGGGACAATTAACATTTTTTGTGAAGTACTAGACCTTGTGGCTTTTCCCAGCTTTTATACTTTTTTCTCTTTTCTCCCCACCCCCTGCCTGGTAAACTGTATTATTTTCTTGTGATTTCCATGTCACCTCCAGCTTTCCTCTTGTTGCTGTCTTCTGGAAGGAATGAATTCAGGTCAAATATTAGGGACTGCAGGACCGGTGAGAATAGAGGAAGGGAGGACAAAGAATGAAATGTGTTTAGGTAAATGCTTCTGTCTCTCCCTGTACAGAGCCAGAACTGCTTCACTGCCTGGTCAAAAGCTGGGCTATTGCTTTTAATGACAAAGCGCCATTCTTGAGTAGTCTAAAAATTAGGAAATAATTGCCCCCTTCATACACAGTTATTTACCAAATAAATGTTTCTGTTCTCAAGCCAAAATGCTTTCAGTTTCCTGAATTGATTGTGCAGGAGCATTGCTATTGAGCTATGTTAATTTCCCAGTCACTCCTCCAAATAGGTCCAAAACCAATTATGAGCTGTGTCAAAAACCCTGCAGAAAACCAATTATTTATCTCAGTATTCAGGCCGTGACCCCAAGAAAAGCTGGTCAAAATAAAAAGAGAATTTATGATTACATGGTTTGGAAACACCATTGTATTGCCAGGACTGTGCTGCTGGAATTCTTATAATGATAACACAGGTTACAACAGGAGTATTGAAAATTATAAGGAACCACTCTACATTGTGAAAAATAAAGTATTTGTGAAACTAAAGCAGTCTGTTTTCCTTTGGTTTTGGATGCTGAATTCTGTTTGCCTGGCCACCCTGAGGTACAGATGTGCTGACTGAGCTGCTGTTACAGCCTTTGCCTCAGTGGAGTGTAAATATGATTTTTCATTTTCTACCCTGATGCCAATTCTCACAAACCCAACAGGACTGCAAACAGCCCATCTGTATGATTGGCTTGAATTTGGCTACTGAAGTCATTGGAAGAAAGGGAGAACACTAAGAGATTTCACTGTAAAACCCTCGTTTTTTAAAAATCAGGCTTTAAAACGAAAACAAACAAGCAAACAAACCTTGTAACACCATCTAAATGCTATTATTTGTGGCAACAAAGTGAATAAACTATGTGTGTGATACTATTTTTATTTCTACTCATTGTCTTCCTTTCCTCACCTGGTTTGCCTGGTAATATGAGAAGCTGTAGGGAGACCTTGGTGCAGAATCATTCTCAGTGATGCCCATGTTGTAGACACGCTCTGGTACACTGGATGCACGGTGCAGGCTGCCTGGAACCAAAAACTGATATTAGCCAGATCTTACCAAAACATGGCATTCTTATAAAAGATGATACATAATACTGTGTAATACTGGTATATACTGTATAATACTGGCAGCAGTCAGCACTGACATTTTTGTAAGCTGAAAATTGAACAGGGAAATGATGGAGGGATATTTGCATTTTCCCAAGGATACAAGCCATTTTTTTCCAGTTTCCTATGTACTTTGCTTAAGAGTTATTTTTAGCTTTTAGGAGTCCAGTGACTCCTGCAGCTGTGAAAAATGTTTTAACAAAGCAAGCTGATACTTTAAATATCCCAGATAACAAACTGATTAAGAGCTGAAAAACAGCATCACTGAACTGAAATAAGAACATTTATTTTTCACTGTAACCACTTTGAATGTACATGCAAATATAAAAATGCATGGTTTACCCTGGCTGCCTGTGTACACAAGAGATTAAAATAGTGCAGCTGTAGACTGGAGCTGAGAAACACAGGTCGGTGTCTCTATCTGTTACTGCGCACGCTAGAGATGCAGATTTCACCATGTACAGCTGTAAACAAACTGCACACACTGAGAATACACTCTTTATTTCACAGCTGTCTGCCTCAGCTGCTGCTGTTTCCTCTCCCTCGGGTGCCAATTTAATGACAGAGTATTGGTGCAAATAATGCCTCACTGATCTCAGTGCTCCACCAAAGAGTCTGTGAACAAACTCTGCAGCTCATGGTGCTGCGAAGTTGGGCTGCCCAGTGGCACTTCAAATCTGCACCTGGAAGGTTCACTAATCCTACAAATAATACCAAATATCCACATCTTCTCTGGTTATCTGCTCTCTTTTTTTCCATGACCCAGCTCCGAAAACAGAGCAGCACACTGTGGTTATTTCTTCCAGTAAAACCCCAAACAGGCCCACAAAACCTTTGGGCTGTTCCTTTTTTTCACTCCTTTCATTTTCAAAGAGTGAGTGCTTCTATTAATGAAACTTTTAAAAGACAGAGATATTAATGAAATAATTATTTATGAGATTCTCATGCTACTACAAGAATCTGCACATAGGAATGTAATTAACACAGGTTTAAAGAGGTGAAATAGAAGTTGAAAGCAGGACCTCAAATCAGTCATAAATGGCCCTACTAGGCTGAACAGGTTACAGTGGTCAATAAAGAAGTTAACTGGCCATCAATTTTCAAAACAGCAAATATTACCTGAGGTACTACAGAGAAGAAATCTAAAGAACCAATTGCTGACTTGCCCAAATTTATGTATCCCATAACACAGTAAAATACAATACAATATAATGGCAGAATGTGGTAATTTGAGGCCTAATTCAAACATAAATTGCAATTATTTTGCTTGTATAATCATACTTTCCAATTCTCTCATTCTGGCAGATTTAAACATGTATGAGGTGTTTGTTAGGACACATTCACAGTAACTTTGTGTCATGGGAGTGGAATGGTGCAGCTTGGTCAGGCTCATGATTTGGATTGTAAGAATTCCTTCCTGACATTACAAGGTTACCATAGCCCAAGGGCTACCTGAGCACATGAGGCAGGAGTAAATTGTTCTCTTGTACTGCAAAAAATTCACAGAAATGTGCACCAACATCCCAAATCTACAGATTTATATGGATCTCATTTGTGTCACATAATTCCCACAGAAATGTACCATTTCAGTACAGTAAGAGTCCATCTCAGCTAAGTGCTGGCTTTTTAAAGATTCACTTTCTTCATTGCTGAATATTAAAGGACTTTCATACAATGAATCATGAAATATAAATACCCATAAATTTCTGTTTCTTTACAGTTTGTATTTTTTTCCTGTTTATTGTACTTAGTGAGAAAGTATTCTCATTTATCTACTTATGGCACAAAGGCCCTTCCAGCAAGTAATTTTTGCATATTCTAGTTAGCTCTAAGCTTGTCTTTTTTAAAAATAAAAATACAAAAAAGCGGACAAGTTAAAAATAACAAGGCTGTCCATTAACTGGCTGATAAACAATATATCTAATAGTTCCCTCTTAGAAAAACAAAATACAGTAAATCAAAAATTGTACCATGCAGTTATCTTTCAAGCAGTCCTCTTTTTTTACCCTGTGAAATTATCCATCAATAAAAATTTTTCTCTTTCAGAGACAAACACAGTACTTGTCAGCCTATGGAATTTCACTTTGCAGTTGTGTCTTGCTTGTTCTTATCACATCAGCAAGTTATTCTGCTGGTCTTTCACCTGTAGATTTATTAGGCAGACATGAAAGGCATGGTTTTTACTGAGTGCTGGTCAGTTGTGCCAAAAGTCAGTGTGGTAAAGGAGAAAGTGGGAACTGAAGTGCTGTGCCTTTCCAAGAATTATGAGATGCAGAATAGGTGACCTGATCAGTCTTCCCTCAGCTTATTTTCACCGTACTACAAAAACCTTACACACCCAGTGCAATCTTTTGTTCTTTGATTTTAAAAAGCCAAGAATTATTATTTTTAAAATTTGTATTATGTTCTTATATTATTATTACTTATGTTCTTATATTATTATTACTTATGTTCTAGTTATTAATGTTAGGACTAATACTCTCTGACTGTGGTTCTCAGTGGTTTATACTATATTATTATTACTTATATTATTATTACTTGTGTTCTATATTATTATTACTGTTAGGACTAGTACTCTCTGACTGTGGTTCTCAGTGTTTTAAGTCTCCCAAAAACTGTCTCCTCAGGAAATAAGCACAAGATTCAGATACTCACAGGGGACAAACACTGTTTGAGAGGCCATAGGACACCACACTTGATTTCCAGCAGCCAGTCAGGGAAAAAATGGGTTTGCTGCAGGCCCTGCATCATGTCTGTCAACCCATAAGAGCATTTTGGACAACCCAGGCACCTCAGACAGCATCAGACACCCATGTGTGGGCAAGGGAGTGGAGCTGCTTATCAGCTATCCCTCTGCTGTCAGTGTGAACTAAAACAGCCGAGGAACACCTTGGATGTGGTCAGTGGAGCAGGAAAACTGAACCTCTCTGCTCTCCTCCAGCCTAAAATAAAAACTGGGCAGAAGTCACTTGATTCTGCAACAGTTACAAGAAAATTCTGAGAGCAGAACAAATAATTCTGGTATCAGGAGGCAGGAGCAGGCTGTAGAGATGAGAGAGCAGAAATCCCATCTGTCTCCAGAGAGGCTCTTCTCAAAGTTCCCTTTGTCCCCCTGGAGGTGACAAGCCCAACATCTCCCAAGGCCTTGGGAATTTCTCCCCAGCAATCACTGCCTATGGGTGCAGACAGACCACCCTAATGTAATGTCTGCTTTGCTTTCAGAAGCAGCAATGATAAGAGGCATCTCTAAGATATCTGGAAGATGAAAAAGACAATTATCTCCACTAAGGGGCTGGGTGTCTCAAATCCCCCTTAAATCACAGACAGGGGGAACTCTTTGAAGTGAGTTTTCATATCTGAATGGATACCATGAAAGCCAAATTTTGGCTTTGAACACCTCAGTGCAGTGATCAATGTAGCTGTAAAAATCAGTGCAAGAGGACCTGAGGGGCTGTCACACACCCTGCCCAGTGCTCACTGCCCACTCCTGCTCAGGGCACCTGGGTGGTCACCTCCTCCCATCCCATCACTGAATCCCTTCATCTCCAGATCAGAGAGCCTTCCTTTTGATGGTGCTCCTTCATCACTCTGCCAGCACGTGCCTGGTCCCAGAGGAGTTTTTCTAATATTTTGTATTGGTTAGGACATTCATACAAGAAAGAGGTTTCTACTGGCTCAGAAAGCAGAGGAATGTAACAACACCAACAAAAATTGAAAGTCAACATAGATGTTTTTTCTACTTCCTTATCCCAGAAAGATGGAAACAGAAAATTACTATGGAACAATTACCATGCCAGCATTCTGCAAAATAGAAAGCTAAGGACATAAAAGTGCACAGAGTCCCTAAAAGCAACTGTAACAAGAAAATACTAGGAATTTTAGAAATTATCAAATATGAGGCATAAATAAGTCTCTGATTTCCATTGTCTTCTATCTGATGCTGGTTTTTTATTTGGAAATAAATCACCTAAGATTTAATTATACTTTTATTTTTTTGTTTGTTTGGTTTTTTAATAAACACACTGTGTTTATAAAACTTGTTAGAGAAAGAATCAGTCCACAGACAGCAGTTCATCAGGCCATTTGATTTTGTGTGATATATTACTCAATTCTGCCCTCATTTTTTACAGTCAGATAAGGCATCCTGATTTACATCCTGATAAGGATCCCTTAAAGAGCCAATCAAAATCCAAAAGGAACAAGAGCAGAGGCAAGTGGAATGAAGTTTAAAAGATTCCTAAAATGTACATGAAATAAAAGCAGCATGGGCAACAAAACACCAGTTACTAAAATCTCTGATTCCAAATGCCACTTTTACTTTGATGAGGTGGAACTACCTACCATTGTACTTCCATTCCTAAATGGCATCCAGAAATTTGATATGACTGCTTCAGTTGTTCAAAACTTTTAAGTGCAGTGATTTAATTTATAAAGGCTCAGCAGTGGGTAAACTGGACAAGCTGCAGCTGCTGTTGGACTGTTTGAAAAGCTATTAACAATGCTTGACAACATCTTGAAAAGAGTTGAGCACATATCTAACTTCATTCCTTTGGCAGCAGGTGGAATCCTCAAATCTGGAGATTACTGGATTTCTATTGTCAGAAAGAAACACATCTTCCAAAAGGGGGGAAAGGGCATGAAACAACAAATATATGGGGGTAGGAGGAAAAGAAAAAGTTCCATATAAAATTAGTGCTGAAGGCTAAGCAGACACCTCTAATTTGAAACTCTAGGGAGAAATTATGCTGGCTGACAAATTGCTTCTTGTGGCTTCAGAGTTTCAGTATAGTCAGAGTAGAGTCAGCAGAAAATGGGTGTGCACTGATGACACTGGGCAAGAACTGTTCCTACCACTGATTTTTCACACCCAGTGCTTATGTGCTGGCTAATTTTAGGCATGCATGTGAACACTGTGGCTCGGTGTGCACCAAGTGCCTTGCTGAGCAGAGTCTGAAATACTCCTGCAGACAGGACAGTTCTGTCACAGGGGAGCTCCTGCTCCCTCTAAATCAGTGTAATCCTCCATGAAACTGAAAACAATGTAAGAACCTTAATTGAAAGTAGCCAGAAAAGGGCTGTAATTCACAGAAAGGGGTGGTTTTGCATGTAAAAAAGGGCATATTTTTAAAAAGTTCCCTACACATCAGAATTCTAATGTTTCTGAAAGCATGGTCAATTTTTGAGCAAGTCTGTATAGAAAGCACATTGGGACACACGTGCAAGTTGATGTATATTTTTCAGGAAAGCCAACATGTTAAATGCAAGACCAGCTATGATTCACATTATATATATATACAGGTATTATACATATGTATAAATTAATGGACTACATTTCAATTTTCATTATTTTTTTCTGAGTTTTACAGTGGGACTAAAAATTGTACAGCAACTTGCCCATAAAATTAAGTTTGAAAGAAGAAAAGTTCATTTTTTTTGCATGAACAAGACATGTTACAGACATGCCACTTTCCACCCCTTATCCTGAAGTTTAAAAGCTTTCGTGTCTCAGAAATGCAAGGGCATCAAATACTTGACCTTTAAAGCAAACCAAGATAACTATCCCCAGATACATCAGGTCTGTTAATGAACTCCAGAGAAGCCAGGATGACTTGAGAGCAGGGGAACTCTGTTTTCATAGTGGTTTATGCATGGTTTGGAGTCATGAGCTCAGGTTCACTACACCGTAACATTTATAAATTACTCTTAAAAAGCTTTTTGCAGGCTCTTTGCTGAGAGGAAAAGAAATTAAGCTACCCTAAAAGTGTTTAGAATCTGTATTTAAATGACAGCAGCCAAGCTAAGGACTTGTATGTTTGGGTGTGCACATTACACACCCATTTATGTGATTTGTACAACTGATTTCTACAACCAGAATATGTCCATTTTTGCCATGAGCTGTTTTTTAAAACAGAGGCCAGACAAAGAACAAGAAAATATTAGTCTGCCTGACTCTTAAGATAGGCGAGTGATGCATGGTTATAAAGACTTTTGTCTCACAGCTTTTAGCAAATGAAAGGTGACAACTTCTTTAAGGACAACGGAGCAACAGGGCGGGTAGCCTGCGAGTCAGCCGTACCTTCCCACTTAAAAGCAAAATTAAATTTCCCTGGTATATAAAGTTTTGAGGAATAGTTAAGACTAAGTCCCTGGAGCATCCTGCCTTTAACCCCAGCAGCAGGCAGCCACCCTGCGGTGCCTGGGGCCGTGGTCGGGCTCTGCCTGGGGCACAAGGTGTGGCCGCGGGTTTCCTCATTTCCCGACGGGTTTGGCCTCCTGGCTACGAGCTCTGGGAAGCGAGGGATGATTGACGTCAATTTGCAGCACGCATGTCAAAGAGCTGTGTAAATAATGTCTGATAGCGTTATCGTTCTGCGCTCCCCATTCATGCCTTTCCTAGAGTTACTTTTCCAAACTTTTTTTTTTTTAATTTCACGGTTTAACCAGGCAAAACTTTTCCTATGATTCCTCCTATTTTACTTCACAAACAGGAACAGTGGATAATGCTAAAGGCATTAAAATAAGCACATGAAGGGGCTGTTGGATTAGGGGGATTTCGCACAGAATTTCAGCTCGGTTCCCGTCTCGGGCAGCGGAGAGCCTGGAGCGGCCCCGGCACTCACCGAGCACGGCAGGGTTGAGAGGGAGAAACTCTTGGGTGGGAAAAGACTGAAAGAACAGGCGACAGAGCCACGATTTTGATTTAATGCCCGAGCAGTCCGCACGCCCCAGGGCCGGGGAGCCACGGGGCCGGCTGGGTCCCATCCCGGAGCGGTGTCCCGGGTCCCATCCCGGAGCCGTGTCCCGGATCCCATCTCCCGTCCCGGGCGGGCACTCACCATTGTAGAGCGAGCCCCGGCTCTTCCTGGCCAGCGTCTGCTGGACCTGCCGCTGGATCCGCAGCGCCTTCTCCTCCCCGGCGCGATCTCCCGACAGCTTCAGCCGCTCCTCGGAGGGCAGCGCCAGGCTGGAGCTGTCCAGCTCGCCCAGGATCTGCTGGCCCAGCACGGTGCGGATGTAGCCCTGCTCGGGCCCTGCTCGGGCCATGGGCTCGGCTCGGCTCGGCTCCGCGGACCTGTTGCGCCTCCGCCGCTTCCCGAGCGCCGGGGCCGAGCCGCGCCCCGCCCGCCGCACAGGTGCCAGGCACGGCCCCCTGCCCGCCCCGCCCCGCTCTGCCGGGACCGGCCCTGCCCTGCCCTGCTCGGCCTGCGCCGCTATTCCGCTCCCCTGCTCTGCCCTGCTCGGCCTGCGCCGCTATTCCGCTCCCCTGCTCTGCCTCCGGGGCGAAAGGGTCCGGCACAGCTCAACCCGGCACAGCCCGGCACAGCCCAGCCCAGCCCGGCACAGCCCAGCCCAGCCCCGGCCAGCGGGGAGCGGCCGCCGCCTCCGGGAAGCGCCGCCTGTGCCCGTCCTCCCGCCGGGGCAGTCCCGGAGCGACCGGGGCTGAGCTCCCGGGGCCTCGATCGTGCGTGTTTGTGTGCGTGAGTGTGTGTGTGTTTGTGTGTGTGTGTGTTTCTCTTTGCTTGTGTGTGTGTGTGTGTGTGTTTCTGTTTGTGGGAGTGTGTGTTTGGGTTTGAGTGTGTGTGTTTGTGTGAGTGTGTATTTGCATGTGTGTTTATGTTTGTTTGTATGTTTGTGTGAGTGTGTATTTGTGTGTGTGTTTGAGTGCATGTGTGTGTTTGTGTGTGTTTCTATTTCTGTGTGTGTTTCTATTTGCATATGTTTGCATGTGTTTGCGTCTTTGTGTTTGTATGTGTGTGTGGGTTTTTGTGTGTATCTGTGTGAGTGTGTGTTTATGTGTGTTTCTGTGAGTGTGTGTGTGTTTCTATTTGAGTGTGTGTGAGTGTGTGTGTTTGCATGTGTGTTTCTAGTTTCGTGTGTTCGCATGTTTGTATGTGTGTGTGTTTCTGTTTTTGTGTGTCTTTGTGTTGCACCCGCCAGGACACCAGGTTCCCGTGGCACACACACCCCTCCCCGTGAACAAACACACGGACCCATTTTAAATGCACAAATATGCGCTGTCCTCGCATGCCATCCCTCACAGATGCTTTGCATCACGGTATATATCAGGTCATTCTATGTTCTTGTGCCTTTACACATTTTGTACATAAAATGGAAATGGACAATGGAAATGGACGATGCTGTAAGCGCGGTGATCCGTGAAGACCAAACTTTCACACTGTGCAGACCAAACTTTCAGGCGGGAGTGGTTGTAGGGCTGCTGGTCTGGGAGGTTTTCCTGCTGTCTGGGATTTTCCAGGCTGCCCTAAGGGATTGCAGAGAGATGAGTTACAGCCGCCTTCTCTCCGTTTGGTTGTAAAGAGGTGATGAGGGAAATGCTCAGTTAAAGCTTGGAAAAACCCCGGCTGGCTCTGCCCCTGCTGTCCTGAGCGGGTTTTGCCCCACTGGGGAAGGCTGAAATTCTCACAGCATCTCAGGACACAGCTTGCATTTAGTGTTCAAACACTTTACTCACGGTGGGTTCAAAGGAGGAGGAGCAAGGGAACTTGGGGAAAGGAAAATGCAGGCTTAAGGAAAGAACTGAGAGATCCAGGGTTGCACAATTAAAAAAAAAAAAAAAACCCAAAAAATTCCACCAAACTAGATGTAGGTATTTCAACAGAAAACATGTTGATTCTTAAAAGCAAATGATAACTAATGTGGCTTTCAACTTCATTTATTGCTATTTCAGAGACATGGGACTCAAAATGAACCTCTGAAGCTTGTTTTTTACCAAATTTCAGACAGCAGTGGGGGTACACATGGCTGGGGAGGAACTGGGGGGATTTTTCACTTAGGCTACACTGCAACATAAGAAACTGGGCACCTTCTCACAAAAGTCAGGATGGGGAGGAAGAACTGGCTCTGCAGTTGAGTCCCGAATCCTTTTACCCCTGATTTTTACTCTTTGTCTCTCTTCTGTTTTTTCATTAAAAGGGGGAGGGAGCTCTGGCCCTTCTCTGAGTTAAAGTCACTCCCCTTTGTTCTAATGCGGCACCCACGGGAGAGGTCATGAGTAATACATGAGAATAGTTTCACTGGTTGAGGGAAAATAAATGAGTGACACACTCCTTTCCTTATGAACAGGGAAAAATTTTATTTTTGTGCAGAAAGGTTGGAGATGGTGGGGTGGAGGGGGGAACCAGCTGGGAAAGTGGAGCAGGAATTTGTGGAGAGGAGGAAATTGGAGGTATGTGGCAGAACGGCAGATAACAGTGGCTCCTCAGGCATGCAGCTCTTTTTGTTGTGCAGTAGGACAGGACTAACTTGCACCCAGACCTGTTAATAAAGCTGTGTTCATGTCATCAGTCAATCATTCACTCCTGATGAATATGGGCAGAATTGGGATGGACAGGAAATAATTGTAACAGAAAAGTGCAAGGGTAGAAAAAAGAAGGAACAGACAGGATAGGGTAGGAAAAACAATGGGGAAGACACATCACAGCTAGAAAGGAATGTAAACTATGTCAGAAGCTATGTTAGACCCTTTGCTGACATGCAGACAGTCACAAAAGCATTTCCAGTAAACAATAGATACTTCATTCTCAGGCAGTATGAGTGAGGAGATTAGAAATAGTCTAAAAAATGTGAAACATTTCCTCCCCTCCTCCTTTTCCCTGCCCTCTTCTCCATCCCTGAACTCCAGCACAAACACGAATTCTAGATAGTTTTTATAGTCAAAACCAATTTAGTTTAACACAAACTAATGCACCTGAAATGGATTTAATATTTAGAAAATACTCTTGCAGGAAGTGTCCTCAGATGCTGCTGACAGCACAGAGTGGTTTGCAAGTGGCATCACCTCTGTTAAATTGTTATTAACTTTATTTAGCAAGTATGTGCATTGATTTGTGCTCGTGAGATCCATGGCAAAAGAATTAGCAGTTTGCTCTGGGCTTTAAAATATTTAAATAGATTTCTGAGATAGATTTATCTCCTTTTAACTAGGAGTGCTGACTGGAAAGTTGGGGGCAGGGAGAGAGAGGAGAAAGAAAGAATTTTGCCTGCACAGCAATTCAGAAAATGCTTAGCCAAGATCTGAAATAGAAATGAATTAAGATTTTTTCTTAGCTGAAGGAAATAAAAAAGTATCATGTAACTGATTGCCCCATCAATTCCTTGAAGCTGATTCATTTTGGATTAATATCCCATCTCAATTGAATTAAAAATAAAAGTCCCAAGTCTTTTGAGAGTAAAATACTTTAGCAGTGTCATTTGCAGAGAGGAAACAACATAGCTGGGATTATCCCTAAAAGATTGCAACTTGTGAAGCATGTTTGCTCATTGGATTTTTGAAAAAGAGAATTAATTACAATGCAAGTGCTGATTGAGGGATGTGAAACACCATATAAAAACATTTGCTTTCAGCCCAGTGTCCAATGCAGTCAAGCAGATCAGGAAACCTAATTTTTTTTATTCTTATTCTTACCAGATGTACTTGGCCAAAACCACAAAATCCTTCTCCATCAGAAGTTTCCCACAAGCGATATTTATATGAAAGTTGTGGCGATTTGTTCTTTCACTCTTTTTTCCTTCCCAGTCCCCCTCTCTCTCTCTGTTAGGACTTATGGAACCAGGTGGGTTTGTGCCCTGGAAACAGATGTTTCAGCTGCAAAACGGGTGTAAGTATGATGTGTTCATTTAAATGTGAAGCAGCATCTTCAATACACCCAGAAACAGTGTGTGTAAATCTCCAGGACCGCACAGAAAGTGGATTGCCATTCACTCAAGGTTTGGTTTTCCCCCCGTTTTTGTTTTGGATCCCGTGACTGAAGGTGCTGTATCAAAGTGTTAAAAACGAGAGCAGTGCTAGTACTAAAGTGCTCCTAGTACTGAAGTGATTTCAGGTTTTATTATAAGAAAAAGAAAGGCCTAAAGCAAGGGGGCCCAGGCTGAGCAGGAACGCTCCTGTTGGGAATGCCGCAGTGCCATCACTGGGGATGTCCCAGATGTCCCAGGGGAACGGCGCAGATTCAGTGGGTCAGAAGACCCTTTTTATCCTGTTTTTTGTGCCCTTTGGATTGGTTTCTTTTTGGATGGATTGGCCCATTACAGCTCTGTCCAGGCTGGCTCGTTTCACTGGGGGCTGCTGCACTTTGCTTAGGTGTATTATGGTTCATTGAGTTAAATTTCTTATAACTACTCTTTTAACCCCTTTTACAATATAATAACCAAACTAACACGTTTAACAATTATCAAATATTTTACAACAGTTTCTAACCTATTTTTAACATTAGTAAGGGCTAGTCAGGAAGAGCAGGATTTTTTTTCCCTACACGTGTCCTCTTCCCTGTGGTTAAATTTGGTGATGCCGCCGAGGGAAAGGGAAGAAGCCAACTCGTTCTGGCCAGGAGGAGCGCTCGGAGGAGCGAGAGGCCACAGTGCCACCGCGTGTCCCCTCGCTGGAACGGCACGGCCGGGCCCGCCCGGTGCCAGCCCCCGGCAGGGAGAGCTTGGAAAGAGTTAAATGCGTGCTTTAAAACCGCATTTCATTGCAGTTTTGTTTGTACCTTCTTCCAGTAGCTTTTTTTTTGTTTTTGTTTTTTTTTTTTTTTGTTTTTGTTTTTTCTTTTTTTTCACTCTAGCATCATTTTTGACAACAGAGAAGCGGAAGATGATCTATTTGGTCCTGTAGGATAATTTAAAGTAAATATATACTTTTTTTTTCTGAGACACCTAGAGGAAAAGTGCTATTTTTACATTGGTAAAATGAGTGTGGTAGGAGTTCTCTGCCTGTAAGAGATTTGCAATAAATGAAGCAAGGGCTGTGATTGAGGCTGTTATAGATGGATAATGAGATGATTGGCTCTCTCAATTAAAAGATCACTATTGTGTGAATATTAAAAAAAGAATTAGTGATGTACAGTTATATTATTGTAGTTTAGATGCCCTCTGCTCTCCCCACAGTTCCCTTTCCCCCTGTATTGTTGCCATCAGACAGCCTGGGCTGTCCAGGACAGGTACAAAGCAGCTGCACAGGTGTCGCTGGCATGGGGCAGGGGGGAATGGAAAAGCTTGGGGGTGCTCAGGGGGGCAGCATGGCAGCA